TGGCCGGTTCGCTTGTTTGGCCGGTTCGCTATACATGCACGTTATATATATATATATATATTATAATATAAAGGATAAAAGAGTTAAAGGAAAGAAAAAGAAGAGAAAGGGATAATCCTTTAAATAAGTACTTAATTTAGTAGGTAGAGCTAACTAATTTATAGTAGTAGACTAAAAAATAGTAATATATACACTTCAACTGACCTACCGGTCCTGTGGCACCTCGCAAGGGACCTTTAATAGGGTTAACGAGTTAGCTCTTTTATACCCTGGGAAAGTTCAAAACAGGTGGTGCCCTAGTCACATTGGAATTCAAGGGAATGAGATTGCGGACAGAGCTGCGGGAAGAGGCGCTCGGCTACCTCCTCCTGACCCCCCTTCTATACTCTGCACTGCTACACTTAGAAGAGAAGTTAAAGAGACAGGGGTTCAGCTTGCAAAGAAACTCTGGAAAACCACGCTTCCAAGCTTATACAAGGACCTAGGGCTTAACAACTGGTCTTCGAAGCCTCAATCACTTCGCTTACCAAGGGAGGTTCTTGCTCGCTTAATTGCAGCTCGCTCTGGCCACGGTGACTTTACTCTTTATCACCTTCGCTTCTTTCACCTCGACACGCTACTTACTTCAGGGGAGTGTAAGTGTGGAAGAGAAAAGACTCAATTTCACCTACTATTTTGCCGGCTAGCAAATAGAGTAGCCCCTGAGCTATTTGCAAAGGCTCAGAGGAACCCTCAACTCCTCTTCGGACCACAATGCGAGGAACTGTTTCACAAGATCTACTATAAGACAAAGTTCTACTCTAGGATCTGTCCTCCTAGATAGTCCTCTTCTTCCTTACACTATATCTCCTCTTTCTACTGTTCTTTGGTCTCTGTCTTATATAGTTCTTCTCTTGTTCTCTACTCACTATCTTGTACACTGTTAACTTATTTTTACTCTGGCTCTTAAACTAACTCAGAATGAGAGCTGTTCCGGAAGTGGGGCTTCTCTTTAAACTATCTCTTGTAAATTAGCGCACTTTCATTTACACCCCCTGTAGCCTAGGGCACCCCCCTAGCGTCATTTGCCCAACAATGGGACTTTTAGGACCTAGCCCACGCGAGTTAGATTCCGCCTGACGTTAAATAGTAATAAATAAATATATATATATATATATATACCGACGGATTTCTAACAAAGAAAAAAAAATTTATAGCAAGCTAAACAGTAGTATATATGTTTCGTTAGAATAGTACAAATTATATATAAATTAGGAAACTTTTATATAAGCTCTATGTTTCGTTAGAATAGTACAAATTATATATAAATTAGGAAACTTTTATATAAGCTCTATGTTTCGTTAGAATAGTACAAATTATATATAAATTAGGAAACTTTTATATAAGCTCTTAGGCCCTAGGACTAGTATAAAAGTTTATAATTTACACTAACATTTACACCATTCCTACTCGCGAGCCAAACATGCTCTTAGTATAGTTGATTATGGGTTTCGAGGTACCATGATGTGAAGCCTCAACTCTTGAAATTGGTAGGTTTTTATGATCTACCCGCGATCTCTCTACAATGTGTCGATGATCGGCAATGAAGCGGTTTGCTGTCAAATATACTGCATTTCATTTCCTGTTTCCAGCTGAACGAATTTACAGAACCGAACCGACGCGATTTGTAACATAATCAAAGCTAGATGGCTTCCTGATCGATTGTAAATATGTTTTTGGGTGAAAAGATATATAGGGATAGGAACACAGTGAATAGCGTGAAGTCTTTTTGATGATTTCAGTGTTTATCGTACTCAATTACAGTTACTCATCTCAATGACTATCTACCAAAGGCACTGAACGTGTAAATCTGAAGAGACCTCGAAATTCCGTGATCTCTTGCCGGTTGGAAATGGGGGCCGAAGGAAGAATCAGCGGAACAAACTAGCTTTTCTGTCCCCGACCAAAACGCTGGCATGATCGAGGAACAATCAAGTCCATTAATCCCGACTTTCGACTCCGAAAAAATGCAATCGAGGTGGACTTTTGAAAGTAAACCAGCTGAGATTAGAATATGACCGACTTGATTGATATTGGTGCTATCTTCAAGGTTGTACGAGTGTGCCAAGGGTTAGCGATGGATGTAAGCCTCGTATTTTCAATACCGGGTTCATGGGACAGCCACATTTTCGGGTATTAGGATATGGAAGACTCTTAGCTTTCGCGGGTGTTACTTAGATGGGTACTAATAACCTTATGTGCGCCGCACCTACAGCAAACCCACCCTTGACTTCTTGGAAACTTTGTGTGGCTAGAACAAAAGGTTCCCGGACTTCGCTCTATGAGGAAAAATGCACGACATGGCATTCGGCGTCGCCGGCGTGACTGTCCACCTAAGTATCCTGCTGAGATGAGTAGGTTTAACCCCAGATTTTGAAAGTTCGAGGATGGAATGGACGTAAAGTATCCGGTACTCGAGTATTTGGTGATGGTAATGGGATCTGTGATCGACGGGAGTTGTTATGTATCACGCTCATCGCGGAATTGTCGAGTATGGGTATTTGGGTACCAGCTAATAGCTAGTCATGTTTGATGAAAAGCGGATTTTTTTCAGAGGCCCATCCTACACTCATGTCTTCTATCACTTCCAATCTCACTGCCATCGATACGATGGCTGTTATTGATCACGTGATCATCAACATTGTAGTTGATGGAAGACTCGGCTTCGTAGAGTTTCTACCTTATCCCAGTCTCCCGTTTTCCTGGTGGATAAACGGCGGATGACTCCTGGACAACTCGTGGCGACGTGGACGTGGGCTGTGCAATCTAGATTTCTAGGGCTGAGCCAAAAAAGCGGATACGGGGCGGAATGGGACCCGAAAGTTTTCAGGGTATGGACTTGGAAATAGTCCTTGTCATTAATTGTACAGTAGATCTCGTGTTTGGACCGGGTTTGGAGACTGGAGTCGTAGACTTCTTCCCCTTGTTCAAGTGTATGTATTGATGAGGATTATGGCCGAAACGGCGGGGTAAGGTGGGAGTGAAATGGTCAAAGTTCAATACTGGTGGTTTTATATTCACACAGGGGATGAGAATTACAGTAGGGAGTGGACATTGTGAAGGGTGTGAGGTTTCTCATACAGAGCAACAACTATGTTGCTACCAGTATAGGAAGTCAAGTCTTGCCATTTAGCTTTGTAGCTTGTGGTGCATTTGGGAGGAAATCAACACTGAGAATATTTGGATAGAAATGGGTTGAAACGAAACAATCATTCTTTCATATTCGAAGTCATATAATAGGATACTCCGTAACTCCGCATAGGTACTCTCTCAACTTCAAATCCTGCCCCCAAAAACCCTATGAGACCCGTCAAGTGAGTGTCCCAATCATAAGCACAGAGTCCTGCCCAAAGAGTCCTGCCCAAGAAATCCCATCAAGCCAGCTAAGTGAGCGCGCATGCATCATCCATCAACCATTCATACCCAGTCATCATCGAAACCTTTCCCCACACTTAAGTGGTGGTTCCTTCACCAATGCACTTCTTGACTGGGTACTCATCTCCAACGCAGAGACTAATAATACCATCGACCCAGCTCAATCCATCGAATGCCTTGTCAGTGTAAGAATCACTAATGAATGTGTTCTTCTCACCCATCTCTCCAACGCAGCCGGTTGAAACATAGCCGGAGTGTCGGGTAGTAAGTGGGTTACTGACAACATTGCCAAACTTTCCGGCTGGTATGGGGAATGTGTAGGCTGCGTTGTAGCTAGAGAACCAGGTCTGAGTCGATGAGACTCCAAAGTTGAGTCCCAACATGTTGGTGAAGAAGTTGAGTGCTAAGCTGCCACTCTTGGTGACCGAGTTTGAGATTTGATAGCCTTGTGTCACAGATACAGTCGCGTCTGATGCGCCTGCTTTGACGACTTTGGACATGGCGACATCCCAGTTGAGAAATGTCTGTGGGGCCTCGTTGTACACAACCCTTGTAGACTTGCAGGCCCGTTTGGTGAGGGTTGTTGTATTGGTATCCTCTGGAGCTGGTTGAGGTAGGGGTGTGAGGTTTGCTGCTGGTAAGAAATCTTTCATTTCGACGAGGTACTCGGCTTTGTTCTTTACTTCAACTTTTCCATCCACGACAACGAGAATATCATCAAGGCCGAGAGCGCGAGGTTTGAGGGGGGAGGCGAAAATGAGAGTGCTTGCTAGAGCAAGGCTGAGGAGAGAAGTGAAATGCATAGTGAGAGTTGAGGATGTTTTCGATGAGGAGAGAAGAGTAATGAAGTAAAAAACACAAGAGAAAAGTGAAAAGGAAGTGAGTGTGATATCCCAAAAAGATGGTGATGAAGAAAGATTTTTTTTGAGGCCGAAGAGCTCGACTTATATCCTTGAATCGATTTCTATTATTAAGTCATCACGAGTTATGTAGACACGAGTTCTCTATGCGGTCCACCTTGGTGTGGTGAAATTCCGCTCACGCAAAGTCACTACAGACTCGGCAAAGTCACGGTTCGTCTTACCCCCAACTTTAAGGATCATCAGTTTGACGATCAGAAGATATACGGGAAGCAGGCCTCCCGGCGGTAAGGATGATTGGCAGTCCTCTTGACTCTGGATACACACCAAACCCAGGGCCAAACTACCACTTATCCTGTTCACTGGGAGACAGGGTATACAGTAAGACTTACAGTACTGCAACAAGCAAAATGCAATTGTTGCTTCCCCTCTTTCGTTCATCGTAAAGTTGATGCTATTTTCTCCCTATTTTTAATACGCCAAGTGTGCAGCGGGAAAATGGTCAATTGCTTAGCGATGACTACTTCGTATAAGCCCTCTTGTGGCCGATCTACACGCTTAGTATCTAGCCATTGAATAATAGCCGCAACAGATATCTGGTTCTTACTCTGAGCTACCGCACTATTCAGTAAGGTCCATTCCATGTCCTCTCTATAGTCAATTTGAGTGTCCACGTAACATTAACACCCTACTGGCATCCTTCAAACCCCTGCGTGGTGTTTTAATGGTACAGCTCCAGATTCTCCAGACCCAAACATGGGGAGGATATAAAACCAAACCTAATTCCGATGCGGAATTTAGTGGACTTGAAGCGCCATCTTCGCTATGTACTTTCCCGATACGGAGAGATCACCACTTGGGACGAAGTACAGCTTCAGGGTTCCCCTCATAGAAAGGCTCACCTCCCAGAAGGAAAGAGAAGACAAGGAGAGCAGGAGAGCTGATACACTAACTCAAGAAGAGAGGTGTCCAGTCATGGGTTAGAGCTCACAACAGCTTTTTTCCCTCTTTAACTTAAAGAGGGAAAATACCTCTGTAACTTGTCAGTACGCGCTGTTAGCAAGTACTCGTACTGAGTAGACTTATGCCGAAAATAACACATGTTGAAAACCCCTTACATTTACCCCGCAATAACCGCGTATCTGGTCAGCCCCGTGTAAAGTACGAAGTACCTCCTCAATCCCAAGTCGTCGTCTCCTTTATTGAATCCTATATTATGGGCCTGTTCGTTTCATAGAGGAGGATCTGCTATGGGACGTGCCCCTATTTAAGCGAGAGTCCGTAAGGCTGGGCTGGGTCCTTTCCGAGGGGCTTGGCGTCCGCCCACCAACCCATGATCGTGGATAGAAGTAAATGCATTGGCCACCGAATGCTCTGTTACCCAGAGTTTATTTGCTGAGCTTGTCCTGTGCCATGAACCGATCTAAAAGAGGGTGGATAGCAAAAAGTCTCACCCTGCTATTTCGTAATTCTTAATAAGGCTCGGTCCTGATTTTCAACAAAATCGCCGGAGGGGCGACTCGCGTTCCGTAAACGTTGTTTTACATATGATCCGCGTACATGGTATGACCCTTAGCTGTCCACTCTCTCACACCACCACTAGGCTAACCACCACCGCCATTCCACTCTCTGTATCACCGCCTGGATTTTTCGCTCGTAGTTTACTTCGTAGTTAATAAGCTAAGGCATTGAGTAGTGTAAAGTTCAACTGGCCTGATGACTGATGAAACACAAATTCTAATTGATAGCTGCAGAGCCGATATTTGGGACGAATATTTACCCCTTTGGGAACTATGGCCGATAAACTTTGTCAACTTAATATTCCATACTGTAACGACGTCTCTTTATTCATCTAACTCATCGTACATTCATGTGGACGGAAGCCAAACGCGAGGTTCCTCAAAAAAGATCATTCTGAAGAGAAGAATTGGGTTGCTTCAAGATGCGAGTTGACTTTGCCGCTATGTATTAAAAGAATGGGCAGCACGCAATTCGGCTTCACGCCAGTTGATCTGTTAATCACGCTTATTAACAAATCTTATGTATTTGTTCATCGTTTGATCTGTTTCCTGTATTGCGACGGATATTCTCTATTCACGTTGATTCCCATTACCGGTATCCGAACACTGCTGTGCGAAGCATTTCGACCGACGGTGTAAACTTCTACAACGTATAGAAACGTCGGATTTGACGTACCAGGTATCCTGTACTACTAGTTGAAATTCATCATTTACACTCACCATAAAAATACGCTTATGATATTAATCGAATCCAAATTGACTCCCGCAAAGTTTTATAGTTGCCCGGTGATCTCATTCCTTTATTATCCAGCAGCCATTCAAAGACAAGGGGGAAAACTACTGGAGGAGACTTCCTCTGGAAGTGCTGGTTAGATGGATATAAGCACACGATATAGTTAGTCTGAAAATTTGTTTTAAATACAAATTCAGAGGGGGATGATTACGCTGAGGTGTCAAGGGGAAAAGACTGATCCATTAGTCGCGTCAAATTCATAAGACATACGTAGGTCTCCATGGTCCTCTGATTGGTCCTCTTCGCACAGCCACTCACAACCAATAATCGATGTTCTTACGCTATATGTAATCAACCGAGGCACTTACGAAGTATTTATTTTTGGAAGCCGGTGGGCAAGTGGATTTTCCCCGTGTGGAGATGAATTGAACCTTGTCGAAACTCTATTCACGTGTGGGTTGTTCCCGACTTGGATACCCTTGCTGCCAGGGATTGAACTGCGGAAGCGGAGCATTTCCGTGTAGATTCGACGATTGTTCATTGTGCGCTTGTTGCTATGATGTGTAAGGAGTACGGAGTATGCGGAGATATGTTTGTAGATATGCCTATCAAAATAGAAAGGTAGGAAATAGGTGTATATATTCAGTGGCATTCCCCATTGGAAACATCATCATTCAAGTCAGTTCATTCTTTAGCAGACTTCAATCGATACTCACACTTCTCACTCATTCTCTACTCACTCAAGTAACACTTTTTCCATCTACAAACTTCACTTTTTCAAAACCACCAAAATGCAATTCCCAGCTACTCTTCTCATCATCGTCGCTTTGGCCAATTTGTAAGCCTCTTCCCTCTTCGCTTAATTTTGAGAGAAAGAGATACTAACACTATATGCAGTGCCTTTGCAGATGTCCATGTCAAAGGACTTTGCGTAGATGTCAAAGAAGACTACGTAAGTTTCTTCTTCATTTATGCCTCAAAATACTCAAATACCTAACAATAAACATAGAACCTCTACAGTGTCAATGCAACCCAATCAGCCTGCGACGAATACAAGAAGCGCAACACTGGCACTGAAAAATGGGACACATGTCCTGACTGCTTAATGATTGAGACTGAGCCTCCTCACTGCGAGAGTTTAGGATCCCACATGGGAGAAAAAGAGGTAAGCTTACTTCTATCTTCCAGTGTTACAAAGTCACTGATAATTTGGGAATAGTTTCAAGAATACTGCAAAGCTGCTGGTGCTAGTAAAGCTATGATGAATTGAAGAGCCTGGTAACGGAATATCGATGCATTTCAAAGGGTATACAGGAGTTTTACATGGAGTACCGGCACTGGAGACTTCAGGGAAGCTGGGGACAATGGGTTGCAGTCTTGGTGACGTTCGGTCTCGATGGCTTTCAGTCCAGATGGCTTGTTGATGTTTTCTGTATTATGAATGAATATGACTCAATGACTACTTGTGGCCTCGAATTTTCACCGTGATATTCAAGTACTTCTTCAAGATGTGAGAGCATGAGTAAAACGTGCGCTTGAAGCTAGCCTAAAACTAGGGCTAGGTAGGCTTATTTGCTAAGGAGCCTAGGCTGGTTGGTCGAACCGAGTCTTTTGGCTGGGAAAGTGTCATGCTACAGAGTGCACGTCACCTATTCTCTCACATCTGGAATTGATAGTTACGTGTACGGACCAGGCAAAGAATACAGTACAACCGTCTACTGTATTTCACATACAGCTGGCTATTTTACAACAGCTGAAGTTCAGCCAATTGCACTTCAACATATTGTTCTCCTCTCAAGGTTTTACCGGTTTGGTGAAAGTATCTTCCAGTAAAAAATATGAAGATGCGGAAATAGAGAGATAAAATTGACCTACTGTAAGACTTAATAAATGCCCGAAGCGAAATCATCACGATTTCCTGAATTTCAACGTCAGACGAGAGAGTCATGACCCGAATGTTCAATCCTTGGGGAGGTCTCTTACACTGGTACTATTCAAGTCGATCTCACAACCAACTCAGGCTAGGATCGATCACCTGATTCACCTCAAGCATCGTTCCCTATGCTAAGTGCGCCCGCTACATGCCCAAGTTCAATTCCTAAGTATTATAAAGAAGCGATACAATCTACTAACTCTAGCATATAAACCTTACGCATGTACAAAACTTCCATCCAGCAGATCAAAAATCGGGAAACAAGTACCTGTCGTATAGTAGCAGCGCGTCGATGTTGTGAGGCAATTTCTACAAGTAAAAAGGTTTACTTTTCAGCCTCTTATGTGACTTTGCAATTTTAGGACAAGCAGAACAAGCATCAAAGCGAATACCTACATCATAGCTCCGCAGTATTATCCCAACAGATTACAAATGGAGTGTGAAATGTTCCAGTGCCCGCATGCTAAATCTCAGAAGTTAGGACTCTTCGATTGTACCTCACGGTTCAGAGCCTTCTTCAGTTTTCGAATGCGTCACAACCGTGCAAATATAACCTATTAGGGCGGATTTTCATCTGGTAAGAGAGCTTGTCATTGTTTTGCCCGTATCAAAGGAAGTCATCATGCTAAAGCTTTCGCACAAACCAATTAAGTGACCTAGCATACCCGCGTCACTAAGGAGTTGCACTTTTTCCTCTATATATATGAAACCAAAATACAAAGTCGCGCGAGGCATTTTCCCCCATATGGTGCCTCGGCGTGGATTTTACCTATGAACGCAAAAGCCTAATCTACAAAGTTCAACCGGCTTAACGGTATTTTCATGAGGACTTTTGCTTTATTGTATGGCAGAAGCTACGTTTCTCATACTGTTCTCCAATACCACTCGAGTAATTTAGTCCTATAAACGAACAATTTACATATCAAGAAGCTTGATCAAATCTTTCACTATTTCCTAGCAAGTACCACCATTCCCCGTGGTATCAATAGCAAATCCCAGATTCCAGTACGCCACACTGATACGTTGACCTCCAAGTCTACCAATCATTGCTCGGTCTTCATTTTCTTTGCCTGGTGTTCATTTTCATGGGATGGCCCACGTTTTCTTGCCACATGATTTTCTTCGAAATCGTAACCAGCTTGACGCATGGCCTGAATTATCTTTTCCTTGTCTTCTCTGGCGATTCTTAAATTCCTCCCTTGAATCTCGTAATCGGCTTCTAGGTCCCGCAATCTTGCCCCAATGGCATTATTTTCACCGAAGATTCTGCCAATCGCAAGCTTAAGCTCACCTTCTTTCTCTTTAGATTGGTAGCCTGTAATAGTCGTCTTCGCCATTTGGATCTCTAGTTCTTTCGAGTTCAATTCAATAGCTCTAATCTTTTCCTCGGCCTTCTTTAATAGCGATTCCTTCCCCTTCGACCTTTTGACCATATCAGAGATTTCCGCTTTGTGTCTATCGATCAGCCGGTGATTTGACTTATACAATTCGTCTAATCTCTTCTGGAGTGGAGCCGTCTTCTGCGTCTCCTCTGGTACCCTCTTCTCCCATTCTTCAGGGCCCTTCTTCTGGCGATCCAAAATATCGGCGATATGGAGGCGTTGCCTGGAAACCTCATCTTCAGCCCTCGAAAAAATCCCTTCAAGCTCAGCTGTTCTTTTTTTCCTTCAACAAATCTTTCTCTGCTCTTTGGGCGGTGCTAGTTTTGTCGTTCAAACTTTGTGCTTGCTGTAAAATCAAGGATTTCTGGTTTTCAATAATCTTTCGCGCTTCCATAAGTTCATGGCTCTTTTCCACAACCCTATCAACAAGTTCGGACGCCAGGCTACTTTTGGTTTCCACGTTTCGATCTGGTGGAGGACTGTCGCCGCCAATCGAATAACCGGTACTAATTCTCCTGTTGACAGAAGGCGTTGTCGGGCGCAATGAGAGTATCGTCTCGTCTTGGATCTTCGTTGAGGAACTGTTGTGAGTCGGGGCTGACGAGTTTGGCTGCTTAATATTGACATTGGATTCCGGGGCGGGGGCGGCGAAATACTTTGATAGTAAATATTCTGGGATGTAGACGTTCAATCCGGCAGATATCGCAAGATCGAAGAATACCAACAGCCAGGAGTGATACTCGTCCTTTTGAAGCCATCTTGGATTCTTCGCCGGGATTCTTTGTGCTGAGAATCGCCCTCCAATGCGAATATGGGTACCGCAACACCAACCGCACTTTCGCACCTGACTCTTGGGAGATCTATTTCTGCATTTTCGGGCCGCTCTTTCAGAGTGGAAAAGTCCGAAAATCCCTCTATTATCATCGAATTCCTGTCTATGAGTAGGGCTGAAAAAGGATACTGGAGTCCCAGATTGAACGAAGGCTGCACAAATACCCTGAAATTCCGAAGTATGGGTTGGGGTCTGGTAGACTGACAGAATGTCATCAACTGGGTCTTCTTGTATTACAAACTCAACCGCGGCGTTTCTCCAATGTGATTTACCAAGGCTGAAAGAGCCCAAGTTGGGCTTCCTATCCTTGAAGTTGGCCCTGACCCCCAAATGATCAATGATATCATAAACCACTATATCAATATCGCTTGGTGATATTGAGTTCTTCTGCACCAACGATTGAACCCTATTGCAGGAAGTCAGCGGCAACAATATAATAAGACACACACAAGCCATTGTAGATATATGAACTAACCAATACAGTGCCATTTCAGCAAAGGCATTCGAAGTGTCGTTACTCCCAATAATATCTTTGAACTCCCCAATGAGCTCCCAACCTTTGGCTCTGAATGCAGTTTGCTGGTCGCGCTTCTTGAGAGGTGCGCTAGTGTCTTGACGGGCCTTTTGAACTCTCCTCTTGATAGTTTCTTGTTCAACTACAGCACCATTGATGCCGTTCTGGGGAGCATCATCAAGATCTCCTTCATCGTCTCCGTTATCTTCTCCTTCATCTCCTCCTTGATCTTCTCCTTCAATATTAGTTTCGGAATCGTCTGAATCACCAGACTCATTGTCAGATCCACTTTCTTTTGCGCCACAACTGGTGTCATCCATTCCCTCGATTCTGAGAATGAACTCTTTGTTGAGTAGCATAACTCTTTTGCCATGTAGATGTGTTCCATACAAGCTTCGCATGGCTTCTGTTTTGCACGCGATCGACACAAAACCAGGTTGTTTTCTGATAACACACTCTTTGATCAATTCTCGGAGGAGCAGATCAAGCTCCTCGTACGCCCGTTTTCCATATTGCACATTCTCAATTTTGACCACCAGAGATAACAGGTTGGCGGGAGGCATTTCGTTTTTCGGACCGCGATTTGATAGACGACTGTAAACAAAGATACCGAAGAAGATACCAGTTAGTAAGTTCCACCAGTAACTTTCCAGATCAGCAGTATCAAGAATGAGGGCGAATTGGGGATAGGTCGCGTGAAGTCGTCGCAGTTGACGGGTGGTAAAGCAGCATCCGCGTCAAGACGACCTTTGGTGTCAAACCTGGTCCAATTGAGGCGTGCACTTAATCAATTGTTGTTGAAAACTGAGGACCGTTCAATCGGCGTCTGAAGATATGAGCTTGAAGCCGGGGCTGTCGCGGATTCTGGGGTAAGACGCGGTCGGGGGAGCTTGATATTGGATGCCGCTTTCCGCGACCGTCGCATGCTCACCTTTGCTTGACAGTGTAGATTGATGGAGGTACCTTCTGACCGGTTATTGAAATGTCTGAAGGAGAAGAATATGTGAAAAACGTTCGCCGTTACTGAAAAGAGTGCACGGCGGTTGGTGGTTGAGGTCGAGGTTTGTGGACGAGATTCAAGAGCGGCACGTGGATCCAAGTTCCTTTTTCGGTATGGGCCAGCAAATTCGCCGACTACGCAACTTTGCTGCGAATTCTCACGGTTATATATATCTGATTATGTACTGTATATAGCCTTTTCTCCCGCATGCTGGTTTCAATGAAGTCAACTTTCGTTCAACAAGGTGTCCATGTTATCTTTTTGCAATGTCGTCTAGTATAATATAATGCCACTCATTTGTCTAAGCTCTTTCAAATTATTTGTACCCTAGCTGCCAACGATTTCAGGTATAATGGCCACACTACGTGGCGTAATGTAATTGCTCCATTCGAATGGATTCTTTCAAATTTCTAGTGTAGTTGAATGGATACGAGTAAAGTAACACTGACTGTGCCAATATTTGAGGACATATGAAATTTGAATACTGCTTGAGCCAAAGAGTTTTCTTTCTTAGCAGATGTCGAGATGCTAGTTCAGACAAAAGATCCTTCAATTATATATATTTAAGGAAGGGAGAGAGTTAGGAGGTAGTTTACCGTACTCTATATGTCACCAACGATAGGGTTCAATGAAGTCTGAGAAATAGTTGCCCAGATAATTTTGTGAAGAAAAGTCCAACGATACATTCAAGTTTCAGTCTATCAATAAGGGAGGTTTATATCTCCACTGCCCATGGGAGATAACAGGAATCTTCTCAGGAGGCTGTTACAGAGAAATTGGAACCCGGCAATAGCGACTGGTGCCAAGTTACCGCATATTAAGACTTGTTTGAGTGAACCTCTGTAACAAGAATCGAAGGTGAATGTAAACCCAGTTGTTATGTGATCAGTTTATCTCACAAATAGTGTCTTGAAGGACTCCTAAAAACCACTTATGCTATTATTCAGACTTTCATGAGCCCCAGAATTTGTCATCTCAAATCCACCATCACGAAGATGTTAGCAGCCCAAAATATAGTTATGAGGTTAACATACTCGAGCATTCTACTTGACCTATCTCGTTATTCTGGTCCTATGGGAACTGCGTCAGGAAATACCTAACACCGCGCGGGACGGCCCGGGGTATGAAACCTTCCCTAACGCGTATATTTCCTGATTCTAACCGTGGGCGTAAAACCTTATATATCCTACTAAAGACGCAGTTCATTATCTATGAGTTTACGCGTTTACTTGTTTATAGGTAGGGAAGGGGGAGAGAAAGAGGGTGGGGGGTATAGGGGTATAATAGAAGTAGATACTTACAAGAGAGCAAAGTGGAAAAGTACTTACAGGGAGGGATAGAGGGTGAGGGACAGGTAGAAACACCTAAGTACTTACAGGTAGGGAGGGAGAGGGACAGATGAAAACAACCAAGTACTTACATGTAGTTTACAGAGGTAAAGGGAGGGGGAAAGGCTCTATAATATAGACGATAGGTCACGGAACTACGCTTAAACTCTCCTAGAAGTATAATAGTCTCTAGAGGACCCTCTGTCCCTAGGATCCTACTTTTTTGTACTCGATTTAGTCAGGAGCAGGTATTTCCTGACACCGTCCCCACTTTTTAATACAGCGATATTCCCAACTCGTGTTAAAAACGTGATTTTCGGGAATACCAAAAAAAGTACAAACGTAGAATCGTGAGATAGCCCCTCTTATATAACTTAACAGCCACGCTTCTAGGGCTTTAGCCCTGTTGTAAAAGTAAGTATTAGTATATTTTAAGTAAATGTATCGACTTTTTATATACTCTAGGAACGTAGTTATATAGTAATTTATAGAGGGGCAGAAAACTAGTTTCTGTATAGCTCTAGCGATTTATATACTAAGACTCTGCTAAGGCTCGACCCCGCCATCCTACCTCGTAGTCGTAAGAATCAACTTTTTACCCTTGCTTAGATTATAATAAATAAACGCTACTAGGTTATATAAAAAGTCGATGCAACTACTAGAAGTGTGTTAAAGATTAATTCTCCCAAAGGAATAATACCCTAGAAGTGTAAGTTAGTTGTTCTATAATATAGGGGGGTCATTCTCTTGAGTTTCTGATTTCACACTTTTTTTTGGTGTTCCCGAAAATCACGTTTTTAACACGAGTTAGGAATATCGCTGTACCTAATTAGGCCCGTGTTAAATATTTCCGTACGATATTAGGAAATGTCTGACACCGAGTTACCAGAGGCTGGACATTGGTGCTCCTTTTGGGTTCTTTCTAGCGAAACCCTCCTGGTATGTACGGCACAGTAGGTGTCGAGAGGATCTTTGGTACAGCAACTCATTGGTGAATAGTAGAATGAAATTTGACCCCTGACCTTAAAACCTGTATCTTTGAACTTCACCAGAGTTTTGTCTCTCACAGCTCCCCATGCACCTTATCTGGCCACTAATTTTCAACTACAAAACTAAAAGCCCACCTTCTCTCTCAAGACCTTCCAAACCACTCTCGCAAAGTACTTTTCCTCTATCCAAGTACCAGTATCCTTCGTCCTAGGATATTGCGGTTAAGCAACGCCAAGTCTCGCCCCTAAACTCAACTTCCCCTTAGACAGCCTGAATAGGATACACATGGCTTCTTTAAAGAAAATTTCAAAGAAGGAACTCAAGTTGACAATGTTCGTGATCCCTGCCAAGCCTCATATATTTGGAGAAAACTACTTACAAAGTCTCCAAGGGAAGCTTTGATTGAACCTCCTCTCAAGATCATCGTAGGAGGACAGGATAAGCAAACTTTCTTTGTCAACAAGGAAGTTATCTGCTCTGTCTCGGATTTTTTTGCTGCCGCCTGCAAAAAAGAGTGGGCTTGTGGACAGGCAAATACGGTTACACTTACTGAGGAGAACCCAGAAACATTTGCGATATTTGTCAGCTGGGTCTTAACGAAGAGTTTAGAGAGTGCAGCAAACCTTCAAAGCCTACCTCCTAGAGAAGATGATTTTCATGGCGAAGATGGGAGACGCTCTGCGATTAAGCGAGGCGTTCAACTGGTCGAATGTCTTGGCATTTCTGAGTCTCTGCTATGCCATGAGTTTCACAACGCTGTTATGGATGAACTTTTGACGCTTACAGAGACGTTGTCTGATGCCGACGAAAGCCTTGTTATATGCTTGCCCCAAATTGTCAAAATAATTTAGAATGTCTCACCAGAGGTTTCAAAGCTGAGAAGGTTTCTTCTTGACGCTAGCTCTTGGATGACTATTGAAGCGCTCAATTACTGGCTCATTGATTATCAGTCTGATTACCCAAGAGAATACATAAATGACGTCCTTCCCGACACTTTTGGGCGGTTGAAACGTCATGGCGACTGTGCTCCTCGCCCTTTCACCAGATTTGCATGGAATTATCACAAGCATCCAGATCAGCCAGACTCTTACTCTTACACTTGAATCAACATGACAACATAATTCGCAATTCGCTGCGAAGAATGCGAGAGGGCTTGCACAGTTCAAGCAAACCGGGGATCTCATCTTCACTTTACTGCTATGTCTTTGTCGGAAGTGTCAAGAGCGATGCATATGCTACGCTGATATGGTAGGGCAGGAAGATAGATGATAGTATTTCTTAATGGGACTATGTCGCTACGGTTGCGACTCTGCATGTGTATCAGAAATAGTTTGTTACTTTTGCAAACATCAATCACTTACCAAAAATTGAACAAAGTAGATTTGTGACTGTGTGTAACGTGAACTATACTTGGGAATCATGAAACATATCTTCATCCAGTCTTTGTTTTCCTGAGATATCTAAGAATTCATCCTAGAATTCTCATCCAGATACAGTATGCTTGAAGTAGCATATCACGTAGCATGACCTGGTTATCGTAAAGTGTGATTCAAACTGTGTTCTCAACTGCACAGTGACTGGTTGTCACCTTCAGGGAAAAATGCTAATAAGTAAGATACCTGGTCTTTACTCTGTACACACTATACAAAACTCTATTATACTAAAGTTGTAGTATAATCAAGATGATTGTCTTAGGATACATAGGTATGTGAAAAGTAAGACCTAACAATTATTTAAGCTCCTTATATAACTGTTTTAGTTCTGTGACGTTTTTGGAATAACTTTATTGTAAGAGAGGTGTACACAGAGTAACGACCATGCCTCTTACGGAGTAAGCGAGTAGTGAAGTGTTACTCAAAACAGTAATCTTTGAGTAACATAGATGACGTGTTAACCTGTTCAAGAATTTGTGATTGTTGACTCCCATTCTAAGCATTGCTGCTTCAATATTAGGTTGATCTTTGCCTGGCGGTATTTGACTAGAAAACCGCTTGAACATTCAGGTTTTCTTTATTTGATATATACTCTGAGGTGACTTGAGCCAGTCGACTGCTTGACGCCTTTGTTCTTCACTACAAGTCTCGTGATTTTCTATTACGGTCAGCATTCTTTGCCTACGGGATATTTCCATTGGAGCGGGAGTGCGAATGAGAATGAGAAACAAGGTTTAAACTCTTTGCCGATGCCATTGACACTAGCTAACACCGGGTCGCTCGACGCTTGCCATCATATTTATTTTAAAACTTGCTCAATTCATATTGGTGTTTTCAGCGTTGTTTTGTTTGTCACAGTCTCACTGGCATTTCAAATCTCTAGTCAATTAGTTTTTGGGGAATTGGGTTTATATTGGGTACCTTAATGGAATGCATTCAAGGTAAGGGGGGAAAGGGGGGGTTTCAAAGTCTGATGAGCTGAGACCTTCATGATTTTATCCAATCTAAGATGTGATATCCTGATCATTCCAGCATTCATCAATCAGATATCCTGCCTAGCAATCCGTTATTCAAAGATCATCCGCCCAGGCATTCTCACGACTAATCCGATCCTTCTCCTCAGGAGTCAAATCGTCCTCCAAGCCGTACTTCTCCCGAATCTGCTGAGCGTTGAGACCGTGGAACTGATTGGCAACCATCTTCACTCCGAGATGAAGTAGTCCCTTGATGTCGAGGAAGTTAGCGGCCAAGACGATGTCGAAGGTGACATCGTCCTCATTGTTGAAGAACTCTTGGTCCCACGCGCTGACCTTCTTTCCAGCAAGGTTTCGAGGCTCGGAAGTGTCGTCTTTGTGGTGTTCGCACCACTCAACGACCTTCTTGAGGACGTCTCCTTTCACTTTACTGATCGGAATTGGATACTCGGCAGCGGCTTCACCAAGATCCGCGAGCAAATCGCTGATCAGGGAGGAGCGATTAGAGATTGCATCCTTATCCACCAGGACATTAACTCTGTCCTCGGAAACGAGGGTAAGTTTGGTAGTTGCTGAAGTCGACATTCTGTAAGTGGGTTGTGTGTTTGAAATGTTGTAGTATTTGTGTGTTGGTGTGTGTTGGTGTGTGTTTGAGACAAGGCGGGTTGATGAGTTGCGAAGACTTGGAAAAAGAAAGCAACTTATAACCATAGGAAAGAACTGTTCTAATGTCGGAAATATCTTGTTCTTCTACCTATTCAAAGTCTTTATCGCGGAATACGCTAGAGAAGTAAGATTCACAAAGAAGAGCTGTCCACAAAAAAAGGGTTCCCTGTGAATGGCTTTTGGCTTTCTTTCATGTCTTAAGTAAAACTTGACTAATCCTCAAGAGTTGAGAAGTAGAGCCTTGCAAGGTCGGGATTCAAGTACTTTGTTTCAAATCAAACAAAAAGTGGTAAATCAGTCTGTGGTAACTTTAAGAAAGGCATTGAATGGTTTCCGAAAACAAGGGAAGCCTTTGTTATCCACAGCTAAACTCGAGTGTAATTTACTATGACCCACCGTACCTGTTGTTCCTTGACCTGAATGACTACGAGCGAGAGAACAAAAAAAACGGCAGCTTCTGTTCATCGGACCCGTCTGACCAAACAGCTTGAAAGCTGTATCCCCACTTAGCGCGAGCCTGATTCACCTTGTAGTGAAGTTTGCATAAACCAATTCACTTACGCCCTCAAGAAGGCGCCGAGTAACTGAATGACTCCAAACCGTGGAGAATGGGCACTCCTAAAAGCGTCGCCAATGTGAGGGTTGCAGTTTCAGGGTCTGTATGCGGCTCGCCATACTACGTGAAACAGTCTTGTCAGGCTCAGAAGACCCGCAGCAGACTTCATACAGTACCCCTTAATCGAATTAAGTGGTAATAATTGGTGAGAATATCGGATAATGATGTGGTAGTTGGCTACTACCACGATTGAAACACAAAGTATAGAGCAGGGCGATAACTTCGGCCAGATAGGCAAAGAAGTACAAAACGCTCTAATCCAGACAACACATAAAAACTCTCTAACCGGCGAGCCATTCGCGAGGGGCATGTAGGTGGGACAAAAGAGCTCACGAAAGTGTAGCTGACGATATGGTGGATATTGTGGTGGTGGTGTTGAAGGCATGTGGCAGTAGTGGGGTGGGATATATATCCCACCACCGCACCATGGGGTCCCAATACACTGACGCCCCGGCGTCAGTTTAGAGCTGACTAAGCGCGGGTTTTCACGCCCCCCCACCACCGAAATGCGCGCGCGTCGCATTTACATCTACCAGCACTGTACTTTGGACTGTAATCAATGCACGCCTGACATAGCTACATAGCGAAAATGGACGTTCAACTCTCGCTGTCGCCACTGCCCTTACATTCACCTGAGCAACCACTTGAGCCAGCGTCAGCAGATGCCACCCCTCATACGTCTATGCCACTGCCTCCAGAGGCTATATATAGCTCTAAAGAAGAGCTATATACTTCAATTCAAGCCTGGGCAGCACATCATTGCTATGCTTTTCGTATTGGACGGTCAACAAAGATCCATGGCGGTCCTAGGACGAAGATCACGTATAATTGCGACCGTTACGGCCTACCACCATCCGAAAAACATCCGCAACAGCATTTACAAGCACGTAAGCGACAGACAACTACTCGAAAAACTGGCTGCCAGTTCTCAATAGTAGCGCTTGAATGTATAAATTCTCAATGGGAGTTACGCTATAGGCCTGGCGTAGAGTATAGTCTACATAACCACCTTCCAAGTCAATCAGTTAGCTCTCATCTAGCACACCGGAAGCTAGCACAAGCAGAGATAAATCAGGCTAGATCTTTACACAATGCAGGTAAGATAGAAAGTAACTTGAAATAATTTAAGTCTAATATATATTTAGGGATTAAGCCAAGCCAAGCAATTACATACCTTCGCCAGATAACTACTACCCCACTTCAACCGTACGACATATATAACCTGAATGCCTCTTTTAAAAGAGAGCAAAGACATGGACTCTCTCCAAACGACGCCCTTATTCAGCACCTTACAGATAACAAAATACACTTCAAAATCAATGTCACGTCAGAGAACCGGACACAACACCTCTTCATTGCATATCCACAGTCAATTCAGCTTGCACAGACTAATCAAGATGTTGTATTAGTTGATAATACATATAAGACAAATAAGTTTCAGATGCCACTCTTACATATGATTGGTAAGTACCGCTTTTGACTTATTTGTACGCTTATAATACTAAGTATTCATAGGTGTTACAAGCTCTGGATTAACGTTCTCAATTGGATTTTGCTTCCTTCCCGGTGAAACACAGCAAGACTTTATATGGGGATTCCAATGTTTTCAAGAGCTTGGAATTAACCCTGGAGCTATAGTTATAGACGGTGACCAGGCTCAAAAGAATGCGTCAGAAGAGGTGTTTCCGCACGCCCCTACACTACTCTGTATTTGGCATGTAAACCAATGTGTACTTGCTAAATGTAAGAATGTAGTCGGGGAAGGGATTGGAAGGCTTTTGAGGCTGCCTGGCGTATAGTTATTCAAGCACAGACAATTGAGCAATTTGATAAGCGCTGGCTTGAGTTTCAGACTCAATACTCAAACCCTAAGACTCAACAGTGTGTGGCATACCTACAAAACGAGTGGCTAAAACCTGGTCAAAAGGAGCGTTTAGTTGAGGCTTGGACAAATCAATACTTACACTTCGGTATATGAGTAACCTCCCGTGCTGAAGGAGCTCATGCATATATTAAGCGCTACCTAGGGGGCAAAAAAACCAAGGGGGACCTCTATTCATCATGGCTACTTATTGAAGCAGCTGTAATCAACCAAATTACAGCTGTATCAACTCGTATAAGTATGTTACAGGACCGCGCACCACTTGATATAGACAAGAAGCTATATGTGAGGGTTGGAACCCATGATGGAGGCTCGGGCCATGCCCTCGCTAAGCACTGACCAAAGTCCCCGCTCAGCATTGGCCATTGCTCCACTGCTAAATTGGTTTCTCCTTTTCTACACTTTTCTACTCTATTCTTTTGACGTTACGTATTTGTCAAACAGTTTCTTGGAAGACTCCAGAAACTCTTCCTCTCTCTATATATAGAGGAAGAGATTGCATGTATGTAGTCTTCACGCACTTCTTAATTGAACATTCGAAACCTCACCTTTGAGTTGTTCAAGGTCTGGCCTCTCACACTATATCAAGGCTGTTTTGGGGTAGTCACTTGGTATGCACTACGACTTGTACAACGACATCAAGAGACTGTTTCTCGGCCACTACTGCCCTGTACTGGTGCTTTTACCCGGGCAATGGGCTTGCCTTGTGCACATATATGCGAGATAAAGAAGGACACTACTGGGCTTACTCCATCAGACTTTCATGAGCACTGGTACTGGGACCGTAAAAGCACTATACAGCCACTACTTAACCCTCTATGGGCTGGTAGACAGCGTATAGCAAACGCAGAGGTTGCTCACACAGGCCGCATTCTCTCAAAAGGGGAGAAAAAAGCAAAGCAATTACCTAAATGCTCTGCATGCCACAGGCAAGGCCACACAATGAGTAGCCGTAGCTGCCCGTTGAAACTACAAGCATCAATTGCTGCTCAAAGCCAGATTCTCCTTGAATTAGATACAGTGCCCACATCACCCACATTATCCACATCACCTACAGCACCTTCAGCACCTCTAGCATCAGCACCTTTAGCATCTCTAGCACCAACTGTACCTAAGCAGCTTTCACCAGATCGGCCAGAAGTCTTAATTCTGGCCTACCTAGCTGAAAAAACAGCCTGGCTAGCCCAGCATCCTACTATACGGCCAGCAGAATATCGTAAGGCCCGAAAATGGAAAACACCAAGGCCGAAAATTTTAAAAGAGCAGGTATTTTATATGCCTAGGGAGCGGCGTGATCTTACAGGTACTATTATTACAAATAAAGCTGACTGGACAAATGAGGAGATTATAGCATGGCTAGATAACGAGGAAAAGAAGGAGCAAGATGAGTATAATATGCTTGAATCAGAGTTTATTAGGAATAGGAATACTGAGAATAGGAGTAGGGATATATGGGCTAGACTTGAGGAGGAGTATGCGCGAGACTCGGAGCGATATATATTGTAGGATTTATTATATGTTATTTTGTTAAGCATGTATTAATTATAGGTATAAGTAGAGTGTTCGTGGATGGTGGGGGGGCGTGAAAACCCGCGCTTAGTCAGCTCTAAACTGACGCCGGGGCGTCAGTGTATTGGGACCCCGCACCATGCGAGTAGCTTACTAAGCCTTCATCCTCATTCACTATAAATCCTGCCATATATCCAGAGAATACAACAAAGTCAAATTCATTGCATCAGCTACACCACTGAACCAAGAAAATACTTTTTGCTGTATCATTTTCTTGTTTATATAAGTATTTCACGCTTGGTTAAGTATTTCACCGCTTGTTTAAGTATTTCAAGCTTGTTGTCCGGGTATTAAGCAGCTACGGCATCCTGAATGTACTAAAAGGTCAGATAGAGTAAATACTAATTCGCAAATCGCAAATCGCAAAAGTCATATATTTACTACTACTGTACCAGAGTACCTATACCCCCACCTTCACGTGCCTAGGCATTTTGACGTAGATACCCTAGCTACCTGTTCCCTTACTGTCGTAACCTTCTTACTGTCGTAACCTCACTGGCGCACCCTTACTAGCGCACCCTTACTAGCGTACCCTTACTATCGCCCACCCTCACTATCGTCCATCCTCGCTATCGGATAGGGTTGTACCCTAGTATATTATTTAAGAGAGAGAGGGGGGGAGAGAGGGGTAGGGGGAGAGAGAGAGGGACAGAAGCGAAGGAATATTTTAGTTATATATATCGCTTATTCCTAGTCCCCGATTACTACTTTCCTAAAGAGATTAGGCTAGCACGTGTTACGCTAACAATTGTTTGCTACTTATCTACCCTCTCTCTGTGAGAGGCCAGACCTCGAACAACTCAAAGGTGTGGGTTCAATATTCAATTAAGAACTACGTGGTCTGTAAATACATGTTCCTCCTCTACTCTTATACTAAATGTAGCATTTCCATTGCATTCAACACTGTTCCATAGTATTACCAATCTTCTGCGTCATAGCATTCTATCTTATTCCATGGCGTTCCAGAGGCGGGGTCGCTTAGCTTAGCGAGGGCTCTAGGCCCGAGCCCCACTATGGGTTCTAACCCTCACACTCTCCCCCTCTTACTTTCTCTTCTCTTTCTTTCCGACAGCGATAGCAACAGCAACGGCGACGGCGACGGCGACGGCGAGGATACGATAGTAAGGACGTAGCGACAGTGAGGATACAATAGTAAAGATACAATAGTAAGGGTGCGATAGTAGGTAGCGAGTTTATATAATCAGGCCCCTATCTTAAAATACGTAGGGTATGGGGGTATAGGCACTCTGGTACAGTAGTAGTAAATATATGACTTTTACGATTTGCGATTTACGAATTAGTAGTAAGTCTATCCGGCCTTTTAGTATATTCAGGATGCCGTAGCAGCATAGCCAACGAAAAGACTTGTCACCCAATTCAATACGCACGAACGAGAGCATACACTTGAATTGCTATTTAATTAAGTCTAAGAAATTCAAGTCCCTGAGAATAATTAATTGGCAAGAATAATGGGTAGGTCACAAGTAATAACACGTTGCAAAATCTCACTATCGCATCGTTAGACAACCAAGCGTAAATTGTTCGTGTAAATTTGAACTTTTGCTAAACTGGCGGTTGTTCTATTATATAGTAGGTTGGGTAGGTGGAGTAGGTTGGATCTAGTTTTCAAAGACCGTTTACTAATATGCTATATATTTCTTAGTTCTCCGATGTTCCTAAAAAAAGGCCCCCGACTCTAATCAATCGTACTCGGATTTGCTAGCAAGTCTAACACAAGGGTATAGAAAAAGAGTAAGAATCAGGCGGATTTGTAACAAGGAGAGTGAAAGGAGCTGATTTACCAGGTCACTGTTAAGTAGTGTCTAGTTCACGTGCTTTACGTTCCTTGGAAAGTATTGTTTATTAAGCGAGTTATATATAATAGTCTATACACTTATAACGGGTAGGCTATAATACTAAAGGATAGCTATATAAGGTTATAATAAATTTATATATAGAACTCTAGTAAAAACTAGTATAAATATAAACGAGCCTCTTTTAATTTTATCGGTCTTCATCTTGGTCTCTCTATATAACAGTTTACGAGGCACAAGTAAAAACCCGTCACGTGACTTTAGGAAACCAGATTATATCTACCTAGGCCTTATTAATTCGGATTTTTAGAAAGGATTATATAATAATGTTCTTATACTATAGTCTTGGGATTTAGAGATTCAAATATCGTTTTAAACTTCTAAGGTTTTATATAAGGTTTTTGGTGGGATATTAGTAAGTGAAAGGGGTAGAAGAATAGGGTAGATATATAGAAGTTACGCCAAGAGAGAGATAATATTTAAGTTACCTTTCTAACATTATTCATGTAGAAAGTAACTAATCGCTCAAAAGAAACCACCTTCGGAACCCAACCCAAAGAAGAGAAAGTTGGATAATATACCTTGGTTGATGGACATCGAGCTGGTCAGAAGAAAGTAATAGCAGTTTTCGGTATCAACCTTTTTAGTTCGATTGTAATCTCTACTTATATATATACCAAATATTGCAAATTACGGGCAATCTCCTCATCCTTAAGCAGGTCAACATCCAGCTTTGATAAAGGGTCATTGGTAGCAGTCATGGATTTGTTACGGAGGAGTCGTTGGGCAAAAACATAGGGGAACGAGAAGTGCTTGGGTTTGAGCGTTGTGCGCTTTGATTAACTTGTTGCCATTAAGTTTGACGAGACATTGTCTACTAATGAGAGCCAAGTAATACAGTTCTATACACCATCTTACCAAATGAGACAACACAGTTCGCGGTCCATATGGAGTTAATGATTTTTTTTTTAGTAAACGCACTCTTGTGGGAGTCAAATCTCCTGGGTAAAATGTTTATATATGATCTATCTAAGATAGCTACGCCAGCGTAAAAGACTTCTGTCACATCATAAATTCAACAAGGAAAGTATCCGAGATAAAATAAACACGGTGAGTACATGGCCACTTTCAATTCCGTAAACAGAATGAACCTAACATTCATCATGAAAAGCAAATCATCGATTCTCGGGGTCTCCTCATCGGCGTTCACAGTCTCAGATTCTACCAGTTGAGTTCTTCTTGCTTGTCAACTTTGGTCTAGGTATTGTTGCACCAACAAGCTTTTCAGCGGCCTTGTTCCGTGCCACTAAAGAGGCTTCATTCGGTCCAGAATCAGCATTCGATGATGAGCGTTTCTGCCCACTGTACGAAGGCATTTCTGCGGCCTCTCCAACGGAAGCACCGACTGCGCGCTCGACAACCGGTGGGGGGAGTTTTAGAAGCTTGTCGCCTCCTTCAGGTTGGCGCTTAGAGACACCTCGTCTGTTCAAGAGGTTCATAACTTCCTCAAGGTCCGCGTTGTCGGTCAAGCTTCGCTTTGGAATAGACTCAGGGGTACCAAAGCCCGACTCTTCTCTTTTCTCGGCTGACTCAACTGGAGTTCCGCGTCTCTTGACGCCGTTCTTCTTAGGTGGTGGAAGAGGGTCGGTACTCATGAATAAGTTCGAAGCTTGTCTCTTCACAGCTGACTCAACGGGTGTTCCGCGTCTCTTGACGCCGTTCTCCTTAGCTTGTGGCACGGTTACTGGAGATGGGGCTCCGGTTATTGGGTCTGTTACGGCCCGTACGACAAGTTCGTCTTCTGTTGGTGTGGCACGATCCTCGAGGGGAGTAACAGGTTGTGGCACGGTTACTGGAGATGGGGCTCCGGTTATTGGGTCTGTTACGGCCCGTACGACAAGTTCGTCTTCTGTTGGTGTGGCACGATCCTCGAGGGGAGTAACAGGTTGTGGCACGGTTACTGGAGATGGGGCTCCTGTGATTGGGTCTGTTCGGCCCCGTACGACAAGTTCGTCGGCTGTTGGTGTTGGCTGTTCTTCAGAGGAGCGGGCGGATAAGACTTCTGCTTCATCTTTGACATCGCTTCTTACAAAGAATTTGAAGGCCTCTGGGTCGGCCTTGTCGAGTTCGACGAGTGATGGAACATCTCGGGTATGTGGAATGACCGCTGCTGAAGTCAACGCGAACAAGGCGGCCGCTGGAATAATGAACTTCATTGTTGCCGGTTGACGTTGGGGAAGAAAGGGTGATTTTTTTGGTATTGTATAATAGTGAGAATAAGGTGAAGCCAGTTCAGATGAAAAAGTGAAGAAGAAAGAAATGAATGAGATGACGATCCAAAACCTACAACTGATTGCGGACCGGCCTTTATGAATGACCGTAAATTGAGCGAGTCTTGGAAATCTGATCAAACAATTGGCCCATTTAAAGACCACAAAACAGGCGACCTAAAGTTTCATCTCAATTGCCGAGTAGACAAAAGCCGTTGAACCGATGGAGGGGTTTTCGAAAGAGGTTTAGGCGAGAATACAAAAATAGAAGGTCCAAGACAACCCCAGAATTCTAAACAGATATCAGATGTTATTTCGTAGTTTTGAAGCGCAGAAGAAATAAAAAGTCCACTTTTTTATTGTTTAAAAAGGCTATGAATTTCCTTTGATCCTTACTCTGCACAATCACTACCTGAAATGTGTTACCTTCGCTCCCTTTTCCTCTCATCCCCTCAAAGTCACATATGTAAAGAGGGTGGATAGCTAAGAGTTACACCCTGCTAGTTATATTACAGCTCAGCCCTGATTTCCAGCAAAATCACCGAAGCAGAGACTTGCGTTCCGTAAAAATATACTTTCTTACATATGATCTACATACATGGTGTAACTCTTACTTCGTAGAAGTAGCTCCCTACCTTCTTTAAATTACATCTAATTTTTGAAGTTCGTGGTATCCACTTTTAGTCTTGGTGCTTACCATTATTTCAACTTCAGTACTCGTCGGAGCAAGTCGGACCGAGCCCCCGCATCCTCGGCATTATGCCTGACCGGTCCGACCACCCGGAATAAGCGGGTCCCTTTTAAGTCGAATCCCATTTTTTACTTTTAATATAGATATACTTAAATGAATGCTTGTTTTCGGAAATTATAGCCTAAATAGGAGATCGTAAACTTGAGAAAATTAGCTTCATGGTACATATACGGTGTTAAGGTAATGCGAGGTACAGTAGTAACAGTTAACAAAAGCATTGATGGAGGTAAATTTACTGACGAAGACATCTGGGACTCGAAACAGGAACCTGTCTTCCTTAAGCCTTGTGCGTGCGACTTTATCCAGCTTGTCTCCACATTCTCCAACCCAAGAGTATCATGTCAAACGGTCAAGAAACTCTATTTAGGACTGGACGTCTGGAAGTGCAGATCCATCCTCTAATTTCAGGACAAATACGAAGTAGTATCGCCGTATCTAGGTTAGATCCTGTATTCATTCGAGAAAGATTTCTATTATACAAGTATTATCAAGAAGCGCTTTACCCCGGATTTTGTGTCGTCTCGATATTCGAGGGATTCGAAGACAAGCGAGCTTCAAGACTTGGCAGATTATGATGCCCAGAAGATTTCTCCGATGATCCGTACCCATCTCCTCATTTCCATGTCAGATTCTTATTCCACAATCTCAAGAATGATTTGATATATCTCTGTACTTTTTCAGAACTGAAGTCAGTGAAGTGCGCATGTTTCCCCTCATCCTAATCTGTATTTTTTGTCACGCCTCTCTCGCCAGAAATTCGGCCTCTGTTATAGTGCTATAGAGACACTGTACTTTCAACGAATCTCTTCCTAACTATTTTCTTCGTACCCAAAGTTTTGTCTAATTCTCCCATATCCATCCTTTTCGTTTCAACAAAGAATAAATACATAACTATTAACTTAACAAGATCCCTCTACTGAGCAACTTAGTAGATTATCCAGAATACTCACCCCAAGATATCGTCATACCCTCATTACCATCAAAACTCGGAATGGAGGACCAATACTCTACTTCGAGGCCACGTTCATTATGTCCCTCTGTGCCCTTGGTAATATACAACCCCCCTTCTCCCAAGAGATAACTTGCCCTTCTTCCATTCGCAAACTATCATTGCAAACTCATAGAAATCTCCCTTATTCCACAACACTTTCAACAATCAAGGCCATGAAAATAACGCAAAACACACTGTCAAAACACCGCAAGTTTTCTTCACCTAGTACTTACTACCCACTCTCTTACCTCAACCAATCAAATACTCAGACTCATACACCCACCCCTCTAGAGTCTAGATATCTTGCACAGACCAGTACTTCAACCTAATCCTAGATTTCACCACCATCCCGACATTCCGACATCCGCTCTCTCAAGACTCTCGCAGACCATCCCTTCCCCGTTTATCCTACTGTAACAGCGTCTAATATGCATATAATAAGAAAGTCGATATTAACGCAAGGGAATCATTTCGTTGCCTAAATTAACACTTTCTCCCCCCCTTATCAATACACTCTTAAAGGACTTGGACTAGGGTTTAAAGTCACACCACAACATAGCACAACACAGCATAGTACAATAAACCTCAAAACCTCAAAACCTCCACATCATTCCTCCGTCTAACCCCTTCCTCTTCCACTTCCTCTCCCTCCTCTCCCTCCCTCAAAAACCATTCACACCACCCAACCACCCAACCAACCAACCATCCATCCCCCCTCCCCCTTCCCCTCCTCCCGGCCCCTCTCCCCCACCAAAAAGAAAGAAAATTAATTCCAGCTCAAGAATTACAGTGGGAATTCGGGAATATTTCCTAAACACAAAACCTCAGGAACACAAACATTCAGAAAGAAAAGAAACATAAATACCTCTACATACACCTATGGATAGCTACATACAATCCCAATCCCAATTCCGATCTCAATCCCAATCCGACCCCTATATCAGGGCAAATCCACTTATACTGTATACAATGAACCACCTTTCACCTTGTCGTCTTTTCATCTTGTCACCCTTTCACTACAGCATCTTCATCTTCAATACCACATTGCCATCTTCCCCCTCCATCCCCAGAAAGAGAGGGAGGGAGAAATAGTATAAAAAAGGGAGATCTACAATTCCAACGCTTAAGCTCATGCTCAGCTCATCTCACACTATGTACTATAATATACTATCCAACCGCTTCAACCTCCCCAAAGCAAAGCAAAGCCAACCAACCCACCATTTCTTAACCCAACCCCGTAACAACAGCAAAAAAATAAACAGAAAAGAAAACCCCCCAACTAAACATTCTCCAAATTACTAAGCGGCACATACCCCCCCTCAACCTCCCTCCTCCTCCCCGTAGCCCTCGCAACTCCATCTCTAACCTTCCCCACCACACCCCCAAACACACCCCATCCCTTCCCTTTCATCCTCAACTGGCCCGTCTCCTCCGCAAGCGCGTCATCCATCCAAGCCGGCCGCTTCCAGAACTTAAGTAGTAAACTAGAAGCCACCACCGACACGGAAGAAGTAGCCATCGCCGCTCCCGCAGCCATAGGATGAAGATGGTATCNCATCCATCCAAGCCGGCCGCTTCCAGAACTTAAGTAGTAAACTAGAAGCCACCACCGACACGGAAGAAGTAGCCATCGCCGCTCCCGCAGCCATAGGATGAAGATGGTATCCAAAAGGCAAGAAGATGCCCATGGCGAAGGGGAGACCGACGACGTTATACCCGCAGGCCCAGATGAGGTTGAGTTTGATGCGGTTGAAGATGGAGCGGGCGAGTTGGATGGAGGCGGGGATGTCCATGAGATCGTTCGGACGCATGAGGACCACGTCTGCGGCTTCCATGGCGACATCGGTGCCGGAGGACATGGCGATTCCGACGTCGGCGGTTGCGAGAGCGGGAGAGTCGTTGATTCCATCGCCGACCATGGCGACGCAAAGACCTTGGCTTTGATATTCGCGGATGATGTCTTGTTTTTGATCGGGGGTTACACCTGCGTGGACGTTCTTGGAAGAAATTCCTACGATGCGGGCTACGGCGAGAGCAGTGGATCGTTGATCACCAGTGATCATAGCAGTCTTGATCCCCATTTTGTGAAGAGCGGCAATGGCGGCGCGAGCACTATCTTTAACAGTATCAGAGAGACATAGATGACCGGCAAAGGCACCGTCAATGGCGATGAAGATGTTGGTTGTTCCTGCAGATGGGGTTTTAGAGGCACGAGCAGCTTTCTTGTTGGCTTGCTCGGAAGAATCGATGGCCTCTTGAGGAACATCAATCTTGTTATCACGGAGATATCTGGCGCTTCCAATGAGAACGTTATAACGAGTTCGCTCAGAACTGGTAACAGGTTCAACATGAGCATTGACACCCTTGCCAACAGCAGCACCAAAGTCACCGATGCTTCCATCGATGGTACCTTCGATACCAAGTCCGAGTTCTTCCTTTGCAGCAGCGAGAATAGCTTTTCCAATGGGATGCTCACTACCCATCTCAGCGAGACCGACGATCGACCACCATGTTTTCTTGGCGAATGGTGTTTTATTCCACATGGAAACAATCTTTGTCTCAGCGACGCTCATTTTACCCATGGTCAAGGTACCAGTTTTATCAAGAACGACTTGGTTGATCTTGGTGGCAGTTTCCAACGCGGCTCCACCCTTGACCAAAATACCATTTTCTGCACCAACACCCGTTCCAACCATGACAGCTGTAGGAGTGGCGAGACCAAGAGCGCAAGGGCAAGCAAAGACAATGACGGAAATACACAGCTTAACACAGACCATGAATTTTCCACCGCTAGCCTCATCGATGAAAATCTTTGGTGGGTTCTTCAGAATGTGACTAAGAATCATCCATGTTGAAAAGGTAAGGAAACCGAGAAGCAGAATGGCAGGAACGAAATATCCGGCAATTTGATCAGCCAATCGTTGAATTGGTGCTCTCGTAGTCTGAGCTTCTTGTACGAGCTTGACGATTTGACTTAATTGAGTATCTCTACCGGCTCTGGTGACACGGAAGTCGACTCGTCCCGCACCATTGACAGTTCCTCCAATGAGAACACTGCCCGGTCGTTTTTGAACTGGCATTGCCTCTCCTGTTACCATACTCTCATCAACGTAGGTTTCACCCCTGGTCACGGTACCATCGGCTGGAATCTTGTCTCCAGGTCTCAAGATGACAATATCACCAACTTGAAGGAGTTCAGTAGGAATGACCTTTTCTTCAGCTGCATTTCCTTCCTGAGTAGGCTCTTTCCGTTCCTTGGTAAGACCAACTGAAGTCTCCCATCCCTCAGCTGCCTTATCAGCAGCAATTGGATCCGTATAGATAGTTGCCATGGAAGGAGCAAGTGACATGAGCCTTGAAAGTGCTTTGGAAGTTTGACCCTTGGCACGGTTCTCGAGGAATCGACCAAGTGTGATAAAGGTGATCAGCATACTACTGGTGTCGAAAATAGTGCTGGGTCGTGTGTGAGGTGGCATGAGAACCGAGACAATCATTGCTGCACAACTGAAGAAAAATGCAGCCGAAGTTCCAAGAACGACCAAAACATCCATGGTAGGTGAACCATGCTTCATCGATTTGTATGCGGAAATATAGAAACGTTTGCCAATTCCAAATTGAACGGGTATCGTAAGAGCTAAACACACGATATCGCCTAGGTAAAGTCCGGGGAAGAAAACAATCAACCTTCCAAAATCGAGAGCTGGAATAAACATAGGAATGATCATGCTTATCAGCATAACGGGAATAGCAAAACATAACGAAGTCCTGAATGCAGTTCTCCACTCAGTGATTTCTCTCGTTTTGGCGAGAGATTCAAGTTGGGCGTTGTTATCGTCATTCTCCGAAACAAGCGCATTATAACCTTGAGCTTCAATGAGCTCCGCAAGAGCTCGTAGTCCCGCAATGTTAGACAGGTGAGAAACGGTCAGTCTGGAGGTCGCCAGGCTAAGTTTAGCGGAAGTAACACCAGGCATTGATGCTAGCTTCTCCTCGAGATTGGTAGCGGATGCTGCATCCTTGACACCAAATACTTTAAAATGTGATGTTGAAGCGCTCGAGGATTGAGTTGATGAGCCAAGTTGGGTTGATAAGATTTTGGCATCGAATCCTCTGTCCTCGATTATCTCAGCAATCTTCTCTGCTGCCAATTTTGTTGGGTCGTGTAGGATAATAGCTCGTTCAGCCAATAGACTGATATTAAATTGTATCAGTCCATCCAGGTCTTTGAAACCACCTTCAACTGCAGATGTGCAGGCTCCACATGTCATTCCTTCGATAGCCACCGTGGTCGTGGCTACTTTTTGCTCGCTGGAAGAACTGCCCTTCCCTATTTTTTGACCTTTGCCTGCTTTCGCTGATTCTAAAATTGTTGCACCAAAACCTCTATCCTGAATTATTTCCGCAATCTTCTCCGCGCTCAGAATGGATTCATCGTGCTCCACTACCGCTCTTTCTGACAGTAACGATATGCTGAAATTTTTGACACCCAAGACATCTTTGAAGCCACTCTCTATCGCAGACGAACAAGCACCACAAGTCATTCCCTCCACTGCAAGTGTCGTCGTCGTCGTCCCATCATCTTCCTCCTCCTCCTCCTCATCCTCATCGTAGTTATAATCGCCGCGAGTAGTAACGGGCGAAGGTAAGTCGGTCGCAAGAACCTCCGCATCGAACCCCCGGTCCTCAATAATCTCTTGTATCTTCTCGGCCGAGATCCTCTGCGGATCATGTAAAATGACCGCTCTCTCCATAACCAAGCTCACCGACACATTTCCCACGCCATCTACACCTTTGAATCCCGCTTCCACTGCAGAGGTACATGCGCCACAGGTCATGCCCCCAACTTTGAGCGTCGTCGTCGCCATGTGCGCTGGTGAACTCATCGAAGTACGATTCGAATCCATTTCTCTTGTAGAGACCTTCAAGTACGATGGTGCCATCGCGAAGCCAAAGCAGCGCTTCGCGCAGCCTGCAAGTAATCCTAGTCCTCCGCTGAACAATCACCAAAGGCGGCAGTTCAGATGTGCTCGTATTACTGGAACTGGATTCCGGTGTCTGACTAGATCTGCCGTCAGCATGAGCATGGAAACTTTCGCACAATAGACCGATAAGCACAAGTCGTTGGATGCAGCGCACCAAACCAAAATATTCGGAAGCGGAGCGATCAAGCCCAGGTGCTACTCACATTAATATGTGCAATGTATAGGCAGAAGACCAGCTCCTACACAGGTCGTTGAAGTGGGGAGTCCTTCAATAATGCCCACAAATCAATACTCTACTTTCGGTCTATGATGCGATGTCCGGCTGATACTGTATGTAAGCCACAAGTCTGCTTCCGGCAAGGCACACCGGGTCGTAAGAACTTAAGAGAACAGGCTGGCTGGCGACCAGGTCAGAAGGCGAGTAAGCAATTCCAAGAGATTGATTAGATAGAAAGTATAGATGCGAATAGAATAGACAAGCAGGGAGTCAAGCCGCAACGGGGGGAAGTGAGAAGAGAAACAGGACAATGAATCGGGAAAATGTCCACAGACTCCGTACCAAGTAAACTCGTAGGCGCGTCCTTTTTCGGTGTCAAGGGGAAGCTTCACATCAAGTACCAAAGTGCCAAATCACACTACTCTCTCTCAGACTCTCTGCTCACTCAATCGGACTTAAGAGCTCTTCCTTGAGGTAAATCAGCTTCTGAACAGGGGCCGGCCAACAATGCAAAATGGATGTGAGGCATCATGCAGGGGGCTCCAAGTGCGAGAATCTCCCATCCAGCCGCCGAAGGCAAAAAGCGACAAACAAACTGCTCACCAGAGGTCAATGCGGGTGGGCAGTTATCGATTGCCCATTTGCACATTTGCCAATTCCTCGGTCTAGCCCGAGCATTGGATGCCACGTCTGCCCCATTATTCAACACCGTAGATTACAAAGTATATTGAAGCTTAATCCAATCCCCCTCAGACTCCCGCCATCCCGCCAACAACTAACTCATCCACAATCCTCGCATCCTCCCAAGCTGTCCTCTCAGCCCTCAGTTCCTGATATCGCGAACTGTCAGGTGAGCTAGACAGCGCAGCCTAGCCCAAGCCAAGGCTGAGACACCTCCCCCCTCGCTTGCCGCGCTTGCTGCACCGGAGTTTCCACTCTCAAACATTCTGGCCCGGCTAGTGTTTCGACGATTCGACAGAACAAGCTTTGGGATTGGCGCCACTTGTTTTTGCCCTTCCGGCTTCTTTGGGGTTGCCAACTTGCCCTGGATGGGACGAGGTGGGGGTAGAGGTCTTAGTGATTACGAATATTTGGCTATTAATACTTTGAGTGTAATTGATCTTGCGTTGCTTCGGGTATTACGATAATGCAGTTGTGAAATTGGGAATTGGGAAGAGTGTCTTGCTTATCAATTATCTAGGTATTATTCATTAATATTCATAGCGGAATTACACAGGGTTTGTGATTTCTGATAGCTTTCCCTCGCACAAAATCATATTCTCAATCCAGTTCAGACACGATTTAAATAAGTTTATGTAAGAGTAGGAAGTATGACGAGGAGTAGCTTTCTGGATGGGAAGTCTAGCTAGGAAGTTGGCATTATAAACATGTTTCGTTTGGTTTCCTCATTATACTTTATTTTTCCTCTTTAGTCTCTAGAGATCTTTTAGTTTTTGAAAAATGAGGTGGGCCGTCTGATATAGATTCTCAGCGGTCACTTTAGAAACTGAGCAAAAGATGGGTGTTTATTGAAAAAGTCGTTTCTTGATGAATGGATTCTCAATTCTGTTTTGTGTCCCATTGACACTTCCATAAGCTACCTCATCTCATCATTCATGTCCAGCAAGTAAATGCATCTAACCATCATGGTACCATGTATCATAAACCCCAAAGTCTCCCCAACGCCATCCCAATCATCAAACCCATCATATCTCATCCATCCATCACTCATTCCTTCCCTTGCAAGTATCTCTACGATATCATCAACTCATTTTCCAAATCCCCCAAAGCCTCTCTTCTTCGCCGATCTCGTATTTCTCCTACCCTCCACCTCCTCCTCATCCTCATCAACATCCATATCATAATCCTCCTCCCCATCCGCCGCCGCACCCCTCTTCCCACCTCCCAGCTTCCTACCCAGTCCCTGAACCAACGATCCCAGTCCCCCCTTCGTCTCCGCACCCACAGACTCCAACTTCCCCTTCTCACCCAATCTCTCCACCTCCGCCGCCCACTCAACTTCCTCACGGTGTCGTTGCAGCGCCGCAGCTTTAATCCCCGCAATCTGGTTCTCCAAATCGGCAAGCGTAGAATCACAACGCAGCGACCAAGAATTCAAGGTTGAAATCATGCCAGGGATAGAATTAGGCTGCAGATCACGGAGCGGCGAGAGAGAAGAGATATGCACGACTTGATGGTAAGGATCCAACGTCGCCATAACCAGACCCGCGTAAATCGCCGAGATAACCAAGTCCTCCAGTTCCCTCGCATTCGCCATGCCCAGCTCCCCCATCAGCTTTCCATACGTAAGATGAGATGGTGTACGCGCGAGGGAGAGGAACGTGAGTTGGCGCAGCTTGAGAAGTTGTGCAGTGTTCAAGGAGTGGAGGTTGGGGGTCGTTTGGTAGGTGTTGTATGTTCCATAGCTGAAGATTTGGAGGAGCGTTAGATGCGACGAGTACTCTGGGGAGGCGGAGAGAGATTGGATTTGTGGTGTTGAGAGGAGCTCGCTGAAGATGAATGTATTGGGTGTGCTGGTTGCGCGGGTGATTAGGTCGGCGGCAGCGCGTGGGGAGGTGGCCGATTTGGTGAGGGCCAGGAAAGGCTACTGGGTGGTTAGTAGATAATTTTAAGATAGAATGCGATGATGGTACCTCGAGAGCGTTTAGGGCCTTCGTTTGCTCCATTGTGGTGTTGTGTGACAGTTTGAAGGAAAGTTGTGGTGGTTTGGTTTACTGTTTGAAGCTGGAGCCTTGCGGAGCTAGGTTGAGCTTCTATCAATTATCCGCGCAGGTTAATCCGTGCCGAGGAGAGCTCTGAATCACCAAAATCATTCACCACCACCTCAAGAGGTATGGAAAAACACACTCCGTATAAGCTGAGAAAGAATTCAAACTCGATAGTTCTTCAACAATCGAGTAATCGAGTAGAATTGATTGTCATTGTATGACAAAAGTTACCGATTCTGAGTGCAAGCAAGTTGTCGAACTTGACTCACTTGGATGTAAACATTCTACACCCAAATCGCTGCTATACTGCATCCTTGTAATAATTCCCCTGAACAGGTTAGAAAAATCATTCACGAGTAGACACCAAGTTCTGAAGGATCTGCATTTTTACAAAAGACCACTACAACTACAAATCCTTCAGCTACCTCCACGCGCCACTATGAATTACCCCCCTCCTCAAACAAAAGAGATCATTACTCGCGGAAAGTAAACAGAAGGGGTATTGCTACTAAATTACAAAAGGAGAAGCCATTAAAAAGAAAAATAAAGAGAAAAGAAAGTCCATGACCCACCCCTCCATTCCATCCCCCAAGCTTGGGCATAGGAACAGGACCACCTATCCATCTATACACACAACCAGAAACTACTCCCAATTCATCCTCCCCGTTTGTACAAGTTCACAAGCTTGCTCCTATCGACGCCTGATGTTCCAACCCAAACTCCATAATCAAAGACTTTCCAGGCCGGCCGTTACCACAATCCAATTTTCCATTTCCCACATTTTACAATCGGTGCCCTGGTACGAATACAAACAGAACCACCAAAGCAGCATCAATTAGTATCGTAACACTCAAAACCATAGCAGCTCGTTTATTGAGCAGTTTTCGGATGTAGGGTTCTTTGATTTTGGAAAAGCTCATCAGAGTGTACTCGCTGTAGCCGACCATAGCGAGGAGGGGGTCAAGGGCGTATTGGTGGGAACAGAGGGCATACACGCCAATTGTGAAGGGAAGGATAAGCTAAATAAAGCTGTTAGAGGGCTTTGAATGGAACGATAGAGGGATACATACCCAGAGCCTGGTAAGGCGCGAATAGTCAAGGAAAATGAAAATAAAGGCAACCCAAAATCCGGCGAACATTGCAAGCAGGCCAATGATCAACCTCATTATGAGTGATGGAGGCACAAGGTTACCAAGTGCCTTCATTCTTAGAAATCCTGGGAATGCATCTCGTTCCATTGCTTGGAATACGTAGTCTTTTGCTGCATCAAAAACCTCTGGGTCGTCACGATTACGTTCTTCAATCGAGATAGTGATTTCATGTGTGATGGAGTGTGGGAGTATGATTTCGCGCTCAGCTCCAGGTAATAAGAAGGTGTAGAGGATCTTTTCTGCTGATGCCCTGATATCGGCACGTGCAACGGTATGTGCTGGAGAGTTGGAGTCTGAAGTTAAATCCATTGGGCTGCTCATGACGCTGGGCCTTCTTCTGTCATTTGACGTATTGCCTCTGGCATCTGACCCAAGACTTGTTGATGGGGAGTGCCCGTTTTGGAAGCCATTGTTGAGACCGTTTGACGCCTGTTCCCTAAGGTAGGCTGACATTTGCGCATCTTGATTCTTCTCTTTATCCGACATTAACATTGATGGTCCAGCTGCAGGATAATTCATATCTCCCATCCCCTCAAGAATTCCAGACGACCTCTTTGACACTGATCTATCCCCTTCGGGCGTTCCGATCATCACTGATCTCCTGAGTTCGCGAACATAGTGTCGGCATAGTGACATGTGCTGAGCGACATCAAGCCTGTTGATAGTTAGTATCTTATCACAGGCCATCGCTCATTGGCGCTCCATACCAGAAATCCAGATAGTCCACCGATCTCTGTTGATCCCGCATGTAAATGTAGAAGGAAAACAAGTCGACGGGGGGTAAAGTCCTCCTGCTGAGTACCTCAAAGAGCGTAGGTAGTCTATTGCGCTCTAAATCGGGCATTGGCGAGGGGCTATTGCGATTCATCTTGGATCGTGGCGGAGGGGGCGATTAGAAGGATAGGTGTTGGAGGGACAAAGGTTAAATGCTATCAAAAAGGTGAAGTCGTGAGATGCTTGAACGATCGGAAATGAGTGGCAGGGGACGTTTGCTGAGAAATTCCCAACGGCCCAACGGGATGACGGTAGGAAATGGGGTAGAACGAGTGTATTTCGACGAGCCGCTTCAATTGAAGATAATCTGAAAGACGTCAGATTCAGCGGCGTAGTAACGGGCGTGGTAACGCGCCTGGCGCAGAAAGTTAGTTATTTTGTGAGGTCGTTGTGTTGGTTGACGCTCATTTAGAAATCCCTTGGCAACGCTGCCTTGCAGGGTAGGCACCAAGGCAATTAGTGGTTCCGTGGCACGTGATGCGCTAGCCAAATCCAGCTCCATCCCACATTGTGGAAATTCAAAATTGTCCGCCTGTATAATCACGAAAAGTTCGACCAAACTCGCAACTCCATCTCCAGTACGTGCTAATTCTATACCATCCATACCGAATCCCTATCGAATCCCTCTTTCTAACCTCCGCTTAGAAATGTCCACAAAAACCAAGAAGCCTGCCGGCAAGACCCAGCGATCTGCCATCGCAGATGTTGTGGCCCGCGAATACACAATCCACCTCCACAAGAGAGTACGTTAGATCGAGTGAAGGAATTTCAATTTGAGGAGAAGTGCTGATTGAAGTTTCCAGCTCCACGGTGTCACATTCAAGAAGCGCGCCCCAAGAGCCATCAAGGAGATCAAGAAATTCGCAACTTTGTCAATGGTACGCAAGCACGATGGGAGGATCATCCACACCGCAACGGTCGCGCCTGGATTGCCAAACTAACTTTGGCACTTAGGGCACAACCGATGTTCGTCTCGATCCCCAATTGAACAAGAAGGTGTGGGAGGCTGGTATCAAGGGATGCCCATACAGACTGCGCGTCCGCATCTCAAGAAAGCGAAACGATGAAGAGGGTGCTAAGGAGCGCTTGTACAGCTACGTCCAGGCAGTTAACGTTAAGAACGCAAAGGGTCTGCAAACTGCTGTTGTTGAGGAATAGATACCTGGTACGAAATGGCATGGGACGGTTTGGAGTTGAATGCATTCTGCTGGCTAGCTTCTGAATGAAAAGGGCAATGTCACCTCATGAACAAAATTTCCGTTTATCAACATTAGCTTTGCGAGGATTCGTTTTGGCCGGTGGTATGAAAGTCAAGGCGTTGAGGGATATAGATTTTGCTGGATTCGATGCTCGATCATTACAAGTACGCCTGAGTGGGAGAGGCAGAGGGTAATGTATACCAGATGCAGATGACGCTATCCCCCTTCATCGGATTTTCGTTCCCCAATTCTTGCCCAAGTGATGTCTTTTTTCCTCTCATTTATTCAGCTCCCCGAGGGACCCCGCCAAAACTCTGCGTACAATTGCGAAAAACAGCACGGTAAGACAATTGGGCAAACCTCTAGACACAGCTAGGTTAATAAATGATATTGTCCTAAAAGTCTAGTACAATTAAAATGATTTTTCGAGCGATTTGGAATAATTGAAATCAATATTATCTTCATTGAAGTCATTTAGGACAATCAAGTTAATTGTTCTAGGATTTCTAATAATAGGGTTCAAAAGGTATATCTAGAATTTCGCCCAACTGTCTTACCTTGTGCTGGTACTAGAAAGACTCGCATAACTCTAATGTTAAACTACACGAAATATATGCAATCATTGGCTTTGATGCTCTTATTGACCTAAGTGTTTTACGACCTATTTTGCTCGTGCAAGTTTTAACCATATGAAAACATATATGTATGTATATCTGAATTTGCCGGACTGTTTAGCTCGCCTCTTGAAAAACAATTGTACGAGTATATATATATGTACCACTAAAAAATCCGTCATATAAATATACAACTTAAATCTTATACGATGTAATTTTACTTTGTAGATATGTCTTCGAGCATATCCGCTTCTCTCTCCTTGGTGTCCCTCTTCTACTGCGTCTTTCCAATAGCGTCTATAATTCTAGAAGAAACTGAAACTCGGCGAGTTTGTAGACGTGGCACAAAGGTATGAGAAAAGTGGAGGGGTTACTCTCAAGCCTAGAAGAAGGGAGAAAAGAGAGCGGGGAGAGGAAAGGAATGGGTAGTAGAGTAGTAAACGTTAGTGAAGGACCTTTAATATTTTATAGTTAGTATACTATTTTGTAGGTTAGACGGATCTCACATAAAATTAATAAGAATTTTTGAACATGGAGAGGTAGAAAAAGATAGCTAACTAGTTAAGGAGATCCTTTTAAATTCTGGTATAAAAATAGCTCCTTTTCTCTCCTACTATTAACTAACGAGTATTATCTAGTTATAAAAGGTACTCAAAACACACTGACTAGTAGATACACAAGTACTATTAACTCCGCTATAAGACGCTTCCTTTGCTTTACCGCTAGCGCTTCTCTGCTAATAGTATTAGTGTTGTATGGTGTGTCCAGAGTAATAACCAGGTCTCTTGTGCCTAATATTGAATTTATTATAAGTCGGATAAGTCCCCTGTTATTAGTACCTATAACTCATTGGTTGTAGGTCTTATTTAGTTTGGTTTCAAGACAGATTTGGTTCTATAGTAGAGAACAGATGTTTCAATATTCACTAGGGATCCTTAGCTTGTATTCATAATTCGAAGGTAGTTTAATCATAAAGTTATTCAATCTACATACCCCTTTTTCTCGGCAAAGAGTTATTGCAAACTACAATACTATGTCGCATTTCTAGAAGACAAAAGCAAGTCTTTCGTGGCCCCACAAGCCACGAACGTAGAAAAGAATCGGCCACAAGACAACATAGACCAGATTGAAATGTATATACCACATGTAGATTTTCCTAGTAGTTTGGTTGCAATCTCGATTCCGAGGGTCGAGAGCAGTCTTGACCTCGTCTTCTGACTTGTTATGTTCATTAACAGCAGAGATTTCCTTGCTTTCGGCACTCTTCTCGAATTCGCCGGATTCAAGATTCAGTAAACGTTGTTCTTCCTTGCGTTCCAATTTCCCAAGGTACAAGCACCTTGAAAAGTTGAGGGAAAAGAAAATGAATACATGATGGCTAGATAGGCCAGAAAGTATGGTCCGGGGAGAGGCTGTGCTAATAAGGGGCCGTTGATAAGGAGATCGACAACCATCTCAACGCAATGAGGATCCATTTCGATTTCAGTAGAAAAGTAGGTGCACTAACCATGGTACCGACAAGGGAAGCAGGCACGGCGTATAGTATGGCAAACACGATATTAGCCACGTCCAATAATTTTAATGTAGCGAGATCAGGTGGCTCGCGATACCGAAGCTCCTCGGGGGAGATTGGTGGTTTTGTTTCGGTGATGAATGAATGCGTCATGCTTCGATTTTTGGGATTGAGAAAGACTCTTCCTCTTCGTCTTCTGATTGAGTTGTAATTTGGCTGGCAAGGTTGGAGGAATTGCTGGGATGAAAGCTTTTTGAAGAGGTCATGAGATTGTGCGTGGATGGTTGGAATGATAGGATACTCAATTTCTTTTATGAGAACTTCGTTTAGTGGTTACGTCACTTAGTCGATTCTTTCAGAAGTTTCATGATATGCCGGTAATTTTAGGCTCTGCTTAGGGCCACATTTGCCAAATCCATACAATAATTTGAAATGGGCGGCGCAACTGCTAACCGAGAAGGGATGAGCCGCAAGACTAGGTTGAAAGTAAATATCTCTCTGATAGGAATATTTCCAAGAGCTGGAACAGCATTCACTCTTTGTGACTAAGGATTTATTCTTTAAGAAAAAAACAACTTTCAATTTGCACATTCAAGGAGTAGATGTCTTGCTACGACTTATCCTTCACTTCGGCAAGCACGCCAGGATCTTTAGTCCCATTAGCTGCGCGGGTACTGAGAAGCTGGGGCGCTTGTTTTTCGGTTGTGATTTTGACGCTATTCCATATAGGTTAAACACGTACCGCTTAATAATCTAGTAGCGTGAGGCTCCGGTAGACGAAGCGAGATACACTATACAGTACCCACTTGGCTAGAATGTTGTCTCATGGAGTTCCTGAAGGCAAATAAAAGTTGGTTAGCTTGTCAATTTTGCCTACGCGCCGGGAAAAGAATTCTCATAAATTCCGTCCCAGTATCTGTCGTTCGGAAGCTAATTTTAATTTACGTGTTCCTCTACCCAGGCCAGGTTCGCCACTAAGGTCGTCAGTACTGTAAGTATCCACGTGATAGGGCTCCCCTTTTTCGACCTCTTCTATCGCTCAGCATTGGAAACGAGCCATTATGCTTTTCTTCTATCAGGACCGATGGAGGACATCTCATGATAAGATAATAAAAACTATGAACTAGGTGATTTTGAATTCTTAAGACTTGCCTATATGATATCTCCTTCGTGGCCCTTGTCCCCAAAGGAATTGTTGTGCTGGGTCTACTTTCTCTTTTGCTCCACTTCCTTATTTGATCCACTTATAGTTCTGTTGCCTAAATGCTTCATGTCTGCCTAAACCTTACACTCTTTATATAAACACCTTAGATAGCTACCTTTTACAATGCAATCAATTCTCCATGACCTTCAGTACCCAATACCCTTTCAACCCAATAGGAATGTATTTGGCCTAATTAGGAGCGTGTAAAATGGTTTTCAGTATACCCTATCAAATTTTCTATTTAGTATTATATATAACTTCTCTAAAAGTTGGGGAAACGTATATAAACTTGGGGATGTCTTATTAATATATAGTACTACGTTAGAATTAAAACCCCGACCGTAGATCCTTATAACTCTCTATATAAAAAGAGACGCGTTTAAATCAGGGGCTCGCCAAACACGAAAATGTATCTTGGCGGGACAAGGACCACGGAGGAGACACATAACAGCTAGCAGATCGCGTGCACAGACCCAATCTGTAGCAACCCCCCCAAAAAGAAATTGAATATAGCCACCAAAGAAGTTCACACAGAATATAGTCGAGAAATACCATACTAATTTCTCTCCCATGTTACGCTTGCTTTGCACATCTACTTCCCTATTTTGTGAACTTTTTAAATAGGGAAGAGGTTCGCTTAGGGGTTTAGCTATTCAGATCTTAGCTCGCTATAGACAAGAAAACCAGCGGTAGATAACCGTGTTGTCTATTTTCCTGGCGTAATTACCGAAAGCGATTCTGAAAAGATCGGATAATCTATACAATTATTCAACCATTCTTAAATATCTAAAAAATCAATTAACTAATTGACCTCGGAAAGTGGAACAAGGAGGCATAGGCGTATATATATATATATACTGCTTCTTTTCTTGTCCGCTGGGAAGTCACTTGACTTCGAAGGCTTGGATACTTGTGGAAAAGTAGATAACCCTACATCCTGACTGATCTGGCTAGTTCACTATGCTGTTGTAGAGTTTGCTTTCTTTGCCTCTCCTGCATGTACCAGTTCCCAACACAAAGACGTTCTCTTATCTGTTTACGGTTTCATCGCTTCACTAGGACTTGGTTTTCAGTTTCAACATGATCTAATATGCGACATGGGACCCTTTATTACATTGTATGGCTCACTGCGCTTTCGTATGGACCAGGATATTTCTGCCCCTTCCGCAGTGCAGCCATACTTTCCCACTACTGGCTCTATCTAAAAGGTTGCCACTCATGAAAAACACTTAATCATTTTACCAGAGAAAACCCCTCCTACGACCCATACCTTCGATTTCTACACATGGCACCTGATCTTCTCTATCAAAGAGTGTCTCAAATAGACTATCAAAACACCATAACTTCCAATCCATCCCAACATGTCTGGCCTTCAACGTAAAGATATCTTAGCAGCCGCTACATTCCTACAGAAGCAAATAGACGAAAACCACCCTCTCGCTGCCACTATCTCCCTCGAGGAAGGACAACTCATCACCATAGTCCTTCAATGTGTGGCCCGGAGAAAACGACGACAAAGTACGACCGAAGCACCAACGAGCTCAATCGATCAAGCAGCAAGCGATATCCTCTACCGATTCCGAGAAACAAAAACGCCCTTGAGACTGGATCCCAACGTAGTCTGCTTTGGTTGCTGCACGGCAGTTAAGCAACAAGATGAAATTCACACGATGCGGGAGGTTATAGGTCAGTAGCAGAAACGATCCGTGAGCGGGAAGTTGCGCTTCGAGAACGGGCCAATACTATTGAGGAGTTGAGAGGACAGGTTATACAACTGGAGTTAGCGGCGAGAGGTGATATTGCTTTTGAAGAAGAGTTAGCTATTATAAAGGAACTTCTGGGGACGATTCAGGTTAACAATTTGGATGTTGATGAACGGCGGTTGCTTGTTAGAGCAATATAGCTTGAGGACTCGACGGAAATCATTTAAGTCTTTGAGTAAGAGATAGACCTCAAGAGGCGGGACTCGTCGAATACAAGAGTGGAAGAATGAACTGTGTCAATACGTGCTTTGCGAGAAATTTCGGGAAGAATACTACAAGACTCTGTTATCTGCAATTCTTTATCAGGAAAGTGAGTCGCCAACTTTAAAAACATATGACACATACGTCTTCTTTAGAATCATCTATTAAGAAACCCAGGCATTGCTCCGTGTACTGTGTCACTTATTAAGATCTTGTGATAGACCTTTTAGAATAACCAAGTTAACTTTAAAAGTTCCAACAGACATACATTAATTGAGGCGTGAGATTTAACTATGATAAACAACTCCAAGCACTGAGACTATCGAATATACTATTGAATGTACTAATGAAGCCTTTTGGTACAAATTTGGGTTTACCCAGGTGGTAGTAGAGTATGAACCACATCTCTTATTTTTCTTAGTAGAAGGACTGTACTACAGTACTAGAGTTACAAGATTGGCATTCCCCAAAACGGTCATCAATCACTGAAGGAACGAAGGTACGTTCGAATTTGCTGCATTGACTAAGAAATATCGTAGTGTCTGTGTACCACTGAAAGTCTATCTATTCGAGAACAGGAGTTATAAAATCTTCCCCAGATAAGTGAACAAAGAGAAATGTCTACCCATCCCACCCACTTCTAATCTCCAAGTTCTCAGTTTCTCACCCTGGGCCATCCAGTCCCAATATCACTCTCTGCTCAGCCATCCCGGCAAAAGTCGACATTGACGAGAAGCAGGCCACGTTACTCATCATACCATCAACACCTCCCTCAAGAGCTGCAATGTTTGAGAAGAGACTTTTCAAGCTTCGCAAGATCCCCTTCAAGTCCCCGATTAGTCTCATGCAAGAATTCGATAACCTCTTGCTGTCTGCGGATAACATTCCGAGCAGCCGACAGGCCACTTGCACGAGTGTTAACGCACTCTTCGCAAGGTTTCGATTCAAGTTCCTTAATCTTCCCCTCTTGCTCCTGGATCTTCTTATTCTTCTCAAGAATCGTGTCTTGCTGCTTCCGATTCTTGGTCTCATCCGCCTCGTGTCCGACCTTGAGGCGCTTATAGGCCTCGGCCATTCCGTTTTGGACATTGGTTCTCTCGGCGTTGATTTTGGCGATGCTCGTGAGGAATACTGGGGGTTCCTTTTCGGTTTGGGGTTTGCAAGCGAGGACTGTGCCTATGATCTTTCGCTCGAGGTTGGTGATGATGGACGCATTGGGATACTTTTTGTCGATTACCTCCTGCAAGAACCTGGAGGCCTTGATGAGCTTTGTGTCGTATGTAGCCATTATTTATGATCTGAGATTTCTGGTGTGTGGGTAGGCAAATATGTTTTGGTGTGTATAGGTAAGGTGCTGCTGGGGTGCACGTCAAAGTGTCGAAGTTTTGGTTTTGCTTGAAAGTGCTGGTGTGTCTTTGACGTTTTCAGGTGTGTTGACGTTTGATTTCAAAGCAAATGAATCCCTGGGCAGTGGAATATTTGTAGAAGCTTTCCAGAGGCTACGCTCAATTGGGCGGAGCAAGAGCCCTTCTCTCAAAGCATACGACAGTCCCGTGAATTTCTGAGTGGAAGGTGCAGAATGGAGAAAGAATGCTTCAATGAGTTTTAACACAACATCACAGTGAAGCGGTTGTCAACGAAAAGCTGCTCAATCAAACGACCAGGAAAGCTTTAAAGAATAAAGGGGCTATATACAGCAGTATAGTATTGAATATGTACTTATTATGGATAACTTGAGCTCAAGTCAATATACTCTCTGGGGGTTTACCTTCCTTGACATATACACTAATTGATTTCAAGATTAAGCGAGAGCCTCCACTATTTAATATCTTCTGGGAGATATGATTGGGCATTTAGTACCCCGACTTGCTCATATGATTCCAGAAGCCCCCCGTGATTATCGCAAACATTTTACACAAACTAAAAACACTTGCGTCTGATGCTGTTGTAATATCCACGTTGTTTGTACACGTGACCTGGCACTGGCTTTCAAGCTTTTGTAGACTAGCTACCTACTTTCTCTTCTCTAAGCAATTAGACACCAAGTCAAGGACCTGATTGCTTCACTCCATTCAACGGCTACTATGTACGAGTACTAGGTGAACTGATAGATACGCTCTTGAAGAAATGAAGGTTATCAAGATAATATTGGACGCTGGTCAGGGTATTGTGTATACACAAATCAGAAACAATGGCCATGAAATTACTTTTAGGTATTCAAATATCCAAATATCCAAATTTCCAATCCAAACATCCAAAAAGCCCACTCAATCCACCCCCGCACTTCCCAACTCCCCCTTCGCATGCTTACTAGCCGTCTCCTTACTAACCAACTTCAACGGCCTATAAACCGGATCCCACATCTGCTCACGAATCCACTCCTCCAACAGCTCACCAGTAGGAATATACTTCTGCATATTCAATCCCTCCTCAACCGCCTGTTCAATAACCGCTTTGGCAATACAAACACTAATCTCCCTCACATCCACCACATCTGGCAAAAGCCCCTTCTTCGGATCTTTCAAAGCCGGGGATTTCGCAGCTAGAGCTTTCACAGCCGCAACAAGCATTTTGTCGCTTAACAGCTTTGTTCGGGAAAGAACGCAGCCTAGACCGATACCCGGGAAACAGGTGCTGTTGTTGCATTCGGCTATTTCGTATTCCTCGCCGTTGAAAGTGACGGGTGGGAAGGGAGAGCCGGTTGCGATGAGGGCTTTTCCTTGAGACCATTCGTTGATGTCTTTGGGGTCTGCTTCGTGGAGACGGGTAGGGTTTGAGAGGGGGAAGATCAGGGGACGTTCGACGTGAGAAGACATTCTTTCGACGATTTCTTTGGTGAAGGTTTTTGGTTGTGTGGATGTGCCGATAAGGACGTGTGGTTTGACCGCTTCGATTACGTCGAGCAGATTGGAATGGTCTTTTCCTTTCCATTCCGAGTCCCGACGTGCATAGGGAATTTGGGCGTGTGTTAGTTTGTCACCGTGGCTCTGTAGAAGAAGGCCGGGCTTATCAACACACCTAGACTCGTCAGCAAATGAAGAATTGAAAGTTAATGGAAATGTACCAAATCTGCTTCGCAGCTTCTTCTTTAGATTTTCCGCTATCTGCCGCAATAGCATCACGAACTTGATCCGCAATTCCAGTTCCTGCTGTTCCGGATCCAAAAACCACCATTCTCATATCCTCCAGCTTCAACTTACTAACATGTAAACCAGCCATAATAGCAGCTAAAGTAACGCAACCAGTACCCTGAACATCATCGTTGAAACAGGCTATTTCCGGTCTATATCGATCCAGAATTCTCCTCGCTATATTTAGAGTTAACACTACCCTATAAACATGGCTAGGAAAGTTTACCATTAGGAAGTCCAAAATCCTCAAAATGGATATAAGCCCTAGGAAACGACTTCCTCGCAGCTTGCACAAAAGTATCCACAAAATCGTCATATTTCTTTCCTCTTGCCCGCGGCTGCTTCAGGCCGAGATATAGATCGTCGTTGAGAAGTTCTTCGTTATCGGTTCCGCAATCTAATACTACTGCGAGGGTTCTGTTTGGATGGATTCCTGCGCAGACAGTCGTCAAAACCAGCTTTGCGACTGAGATGAGGATTCCTCCGACTCCTTGGTCGCCAATTCCGAGGATTTCTTCGCCATCTGCAGAGATTGTGAGTGGGAGTTATGAAGGGGATGGGAGAAGGAAGAGAACGAACCAGTTACGACGATGTAATCTATATCTTCTGGATTTCCCCACCGAGCTATGTCATCGTGGACTCGATGAACGTCGTTGATATTGAGAAAACAACCTTCTGCTCGCCGAAAGAGTCTGGAGTAATTTTGGATTGCGTCTCCTTCAGTTGGAGTGTAGATGATTGAGAAAATCTCTTTGAGATGGTCATGAATTAACTATTTCAATTAGCCCGGTTTTATAGAACTGAAAGCCACATCCATTTTGAGAACGATCCCAGTATAAGAAAGAGACACTGGACACATTAAAATAAGGTTCCAACAAGTAGATGTATAGGATGAAATTTTGGGGCCCAAAAGTGAGAACGACCAATGTGGATTTGGGAACGGATCTGTTGAGAGTTCATTGTGTTACTCAAGACAATTCAGACTTATCAATTGGGTTGATCCGATAGCGAGTCTGTAGTAAACATATCCACGCTCAAAGGACAAAAGCAGTTCAAAACTCCCACAGTGCGTCTCGTTCCCAAGACTCAATGAGAAGAGCGTAAGCCAAAACTTGATATCTCATCCACTTGAATGTACCCCTTACTTTCTCACTTCGCTATATATGGAGCCACGCAATATGAATAGCATATCCAAACAACCTCACTCGTCCACTCGAACATCCCCAAAATCCCTCTCCTCACCACCCCATAAACCCCCTCTCTCCCCTATGTTACCCCCAACCAACCGTAGCTCTCAAAATCTCAAAATCTCAAAAAAAAAATCAAAATCCCACAAACCTTAAAATAAAGCACCTCATTCTGCTCCTTCAAACTCGTCATAAAAGTATTCTTGGCCAACTCATCACTCCTCGTACAAAACTGCTGATAAGCCCTCTTACACTGCATCTCCAGACTCTGGACATTCGCCGGCAACAAGCCAGTTAACCCAAATGTGTCCCTCTCATCGGTAGGGAAGGCGACGCCTTTATTGAAATAGGGGTTGTTGAGCAGCGCTGAGCCGGTGAGGGCGCATTCGACGGGGCCGGAGGTGCTGAGGGGGAGGTGGGAGAATTTGGGGTGTGTGGTGGTTTTGTTGTGGGGCATGATGGGTGGGTTGAGATGGTGAGATGGTGAGATGATGAGATGGTGAGATGGTGAGATGGTAAGATGTGATGGTGGTATTGAGGGTGTAGGTGAGTTGTATGGTTGGAAATTATTAGAGGGAGGATGGAGATGGAGATGGAGATGTTCTAGATGTCATGGTGGAGTGAAGTACATAATAATACAAGTACAGTACCAGTGAACAGCCTGCAAACCAGAATCCCATTCAATCTTGGATCTGCATGTGACCCATATCCTATCAAAATCAACAGGTCCATCCAACCTGACAACCTGAAATGTAAGCTGAGAGGTCAGCCCACAGTAGCTCGGCAAGCCACAGCGAACCAGGTAAACCACGTATAAATGACGTAGCAAGACCTTACTGTACATTTCCCAAAAGAGGTAAAAAGCTTGATTTCGATGAGCGCTGTGCGGAATTGTGGGGTGATTGGCTGGGCTGAGACATTCAAGAGGAGCGGTAGCATTGAAAACATTGGGGTTTCAATAGTGCAAGATGACTGACTATATTAACACGCCTCCTCGATTATTCTACATTAGTTGTCTTATGATTCCTATCGTACAATTCTTCCCTGAAACAAAATAACTCCCAAACATGCCATCAAATGCGCCTGTCCATGCATTCTAATTACTCCATTCTATGTGTTGGTAATGAGTATGGTGATGAAGAACAGAGAGAAACTGTCCTGCCTCTCCGCCTTAGGACTCCATTTCACGATGTGTGAGACTCCTTCACATGTGTATTCCTCCATAGGCAGTCGTGATTTGGACAGGAGTCGGAAAAACCTTATTCTAATCAAGTCCCAATTATTGCCATATGTGTAGTCATGTTGTTGCAGCTTCCGAGAACCGGGAAAGTGGGCAGGCAATGTGCGTCGTCCTTGCGCAACGACCCAACAATTCCACGAGGAAGCCAAGTTGAAGAAATTGACTTTTGGCTGCCAATACGGGGTGCGATTCTTGGAAATTCAAGCCGCTATGTACCCAAGGATTTGGGCGAAGGTCTTAAGATCCTGGCCTGCTCCTATCTCGAGTGGATATTTCAAGTCTGAACGTTTTAGTGGTAGAGATGGTAACACAAGATCAATCCCAACACGTTTTCTTTCGGATGATATTGAAATCGAAGGTCATTGGATAAGCAAGCTGCAAGGCTGGTCCGACCTGTGATTCTATATCGCTTATGAATTCTTATAAAGAAGACGATATTGGGTACGAATAGATGTTATGCGCCCCGTGATTCTGGTATTCATCGACACTGTTAATAAGCTTTTCAAGTACCATTCGCTTTCCCGCCTGCCACCGGGGGTCTACTTCTGGCCTGTCTGGCGGGCATGGCTATCACTCTGAAGGGTAAAACGTTAGCAAAATCCACTTCAACACCTGAAGAGGAAGGGCTTCAGGCTTCAGGAATTGAACCTACGAAGCAAAGGCCGCCGATGACTCCTCATGATCTCGGAGTTTTCTGGCGTGCTCTCTTACTCTTTCTTGGTGCCTGCGTACCTCCTCCCGATGTACGCGGACTTCCTCTGCATGCTTCAAGGCTTCCGCCTCATAGTACTGGTCCATTTCGTATTGTTCTTGGGCGATTCTTTCCTGCTCTAGTCGCATGCGCGACGCTTCGGCTGCCATTTGGTTGCGTTCTTCTTCCATGCGATCCTGCTCTCGCGCTCGCTCTTCGGCCTGTCGTTCGTACTCGAGCATTTTGGGGTTGCGGTTCCCTCGCACGGCTCCATTCCCGTTGGCCGCCCCATTGCCATTAGTAGCTGTAGAGGAAGCCATAGCGACTGGTTTTGGTTTGCTGGTGAAAAGGCCAGGTAAGAAAGTTCGGGATGCTGGTGCTGGTGCCTCTGGTGCTGGAGCTGGTGCTGGTGCTGGAACCTCCTTCTTGGGTGCAGTATCTTTCGATGGTGCTTTCGGTGGTGTGATATCCTTAGGTGTTATGTCCTTCGGTGTGATGTCCTTCGATGGTGCTTTCGGTGGTGTAATGGTTGTGGTTGTAGTGTCTTTTGCTGGTGCTCTCGGTGGTGTAATATCCTTTGGTGTGATGTCCTTCGGTGCAAAGTCCGCAGGGTCGAAGCTGGAGATGCTGGAAGTGGGGGACGATTTGTTGGTCACGTCCCGAGGCTCAAAATCAAAGGAAGGACGGGAACCACTGGAACTCGTGCTGTCGGCTTTGGCCCGGAAGACTTGGTTAAGAGGGATTCGTGAAAGCGACATATGTCAACCCTTGTCGGCCTGGAACATATACAGCTATGGAAAACTCGCGGAGCATTGTCTGCTCGTCGTCCGTTATCTTGTGCCGTGTCGAAATTCCACTTTACCGCTGGTTCTTTTGCTACAGAAACTCGCAAGCAGCTTGAAATTGACTGGATCCGTCGAATAATAAGGTGTATGTGGGGTTAATCCGGTATGGGCGGCCGTCCTACTCTACTTGGGGCTCAACGCCACCAATCGCTGCAGTAGCATCATAAGATGGTACTGATACCTGTCTGATCCCAGAGGATCTCCTCGATTTCTACTAGCATGGCCCTAAATCTGGCAATTTTGAGTGGTGGAATGGGGTTGAGCTGAGACCCTAGTGTAGTAGTGCTAGACAGGTGACACAGTTGGTGCCTCAGAGATCCCGAGCGCTGATGATTAGCGTCTTGTTTCATGGTCTCATAGCATCTCGATGAACACCCCCGCTGACCTGCCCTAAATCTAGATGGACCCTCGCCTGCAAATACCAGTAGCTCTTGTTGGTAAATCACAAGATTCGTCCTGCTTTCTATTGCACGTGCAAATTGCTGTGCTCCACTACAAATGGGGAAGGAGATACCAAGTACCAAGAGATCTTTGGGAAAATGGATTTCCGTGCATATGAACCGTCCGAAAGTCGGCCTGCTCCCGTATGTGAATGGCCTCAACCGCAGATCATGCAAGAGTTCAGACGAATGCAAAGGTGTCTGCAAGAGAACGGTAAAACATACTGCAAAGTAACGCGATTGAAAGAATGTCTCGAGAATACGAATAAGCCGATCTTTCCGAAGTCGTTTCTCACCTTTCGCTCACAGCACGATACAGTACTGTAGTACCAGTAGCTGCCTGATATAAACATGCATAAAGATGTCGGGCAATCGAAAACCTTGTTTTGCGCGATCTGAATTGAGCCCGAAGTAAAACGTGGAGAGAGGACTTCTGATGATTTTCTCGGAGGAAAAAAAGACTGACAAAAGACAATAGCCGGGGGCTTCCAGGAAAAAAACGAACGCTTGAAACTAAACGCAGAAGTAGCCTCCGTTCGACAGGTCTGTTTGTTTAAGGGACTGTCCAATGTGCGATTTTCCAAGAAGTTTGACTTCTAAGAGTTGTGACGAATCTGCTCCCAGAAAGAAGGGCTCGAAGGAGAAAAGCTATTAAAAAGTGAAATGAACACGGTACTCAAGTATCGTTTTTTGTTGCAAAGTCATACTCGTACGCGACAATATGTCCATACAGTACTCCGTAGGTCGAACAGAATAAACGCATTTTAGGAGGTACTTTAATATTCGCCAAGCAACCCTATTTCGAAAAGGAACCACTTCTAAACGCAACTGTGTGTTATTTTTGAGGCCACGTGGATCTTCTATCAAGCATGGCAGTAGATCAATTTGTGAGAACCGGGTGGGCGGGTGTTCTTTTCATAACCATCATGCTGCCCAGAAAACGCTTGATTCTGATTCTGTTTATAAGTCGTCTTCGAGTAAGCCAAGACCAACCTTCTTTCTTCAACCCATCTAAGAAGTCTTCTTCGTTTCACTTTTGTCGCCTTGCTCAGGAACCTTCGTTCCTCGTTCTCCCATACCAGCAATTACCTTCTCAATCTTTCTCCATGGCCACTCCAGCACCGGGTAGAGAAACGGACGCATATCATACCTATTATCATCCGGTCCATACTGCTCAGCATGGTATGACGGAGTAAGAGTAGTCATCTTGTGGCGATTGATACCATAACACCAATGAAAGAAGCGAACCTTCTCGTAGATCTGTTGTGGCGACAGTCTATCACCCCAAAAATGCAGTAGTTTCGACCACATTCCGTAAGGGCCTAGGTGATCTCGCTTACGCAGATTTCCGTACACACTCAATTCAGCGTATGACATTCCCATGTCTGCTTCATCGCTCTGAATATAATCATCCGTGATGGGTTCCAGCTCTGCTGTAGGAGGGGCATCGATAAATTCATGGAGAGATGGCATATCAAATTGATCTGCTGCATGAATGATGAACCGCTTGAGATCAGTTTTTGAGATGCCTCCTATTGGGTTAATATCTGCCGAAGAACAATCGTACTTGGTGAGGTATCCTCTCAAACTCTCATCCACATTAGCCGAGCCAAGAACTAACAGACTTCCTGGATTTGGGTTTTCAGAATTGGATTGATTCCTTAGACGAACGCTTGGGAGTAGCTGTGCGAATAGATATGCAAGAACCATTCTGGTTCGAGCTTGGATATTTTGCAAAGCCAAATTGGTTGCATTTGTGCCACCGTGCATTTTGTAGCGTGGGGTAAAACGGGTCACCATTGTAAAGAGGCTTGTAATTGCAGTAACTACGGAATCGATATCGAAGTCGCAGTGATAGCTGCCAATTCTCTGCGCAAGTTCTTTTGCACGTTTACGAGTTTCTGCTGAAGAGTTCGTTGCCATTCCCACTGCACGTCGTTAGTAAAATACTCTGAACCCTTCAGAGGGTCATCCGACTACATAACGATAATGAGTGCGGAGGATGTTGAGCTTTAGCAATTTAACTGGGAGCAGACTTACTATATGCTGAGTGAAAAAGACGGGAGCAAACTTCTTCCGCGGACTTCGGCAGCCAAGTTGATGTAGAGGGTTCTCCGGCAATCTGGCGTAGATCTTTAATCACTTGTTTGTTCTTATCCTCGGTGATATCTTTGTAGACGAGACGACACATGGAGTATACAATGAGACTCGTTGCGCAACTGTCAATACCGCCCGATAGCGGGATGAAAAATCCTAAAAATGATCAGCTTAGAGCTTCAAACTCTCAGAAAGTGGGTTATTTTACCAGCTTGTTTGCTGCGACGTAAGTAATCCCAAAGCCAACAACTATTCATAAGTCAGTAAAGTCCTCACCATGGAGGGGAAAGTAACTGACGCTGGACCCAACTCGATTTCTTCATCTGGGGTGTGGTATCGAACTTCTCTAGGAAGACTTGGCTTAAGCAGTGGATTGAATTCATCCGAGTCGCTAGAAAGACTCATGGGAATCTCTACACGCTCGTATGATGGTTGATATATAGCTTGAAGGGCCCGGGATTTGGCAAATCGATAGCTGCGGACCTCTTCTAGATCCACAGTTGCGACAACCACCTCGACATCTGCTAAAGAGAATTGGCTACCCTGGGCCACAACTTGACCATTAATAATGATCATAGCACACCCATCATAGTACAATCTGTCACCATCGCATCCTTGTTGATTGCTATACAAATAAATTCCACCGGATTTGAGAGTCGCTTCACGGATAAGATCAATACGGGTATTGAGCTTTCTCAGTTCATGGTGTGAACCAGACGAATTGGAAATGATCTCACAACCGTCCAGACCCGCGCCAATGTTTGGTGCTCGTGGTGTAAATAATTCTTCACAGGTCTCGGTCCCCATGCAAGTATCCCGGGTTGAAATTAGAGCGTCTCCGATTCGGACTTTATCCTGACCAGTGATTTTGGTGATGCATCGGGGGAGATAGAAATCCTCTACAATTCTCTCTCCTGTTTAAACTTAGCAAAGCGGTTGTGTGATGAGATGAGTGAAGCTTCTTCATACCTTTCCAAGGTGAGAAATAACGCATCTCATAATAATTGCCGCTGTTCATAACGTCAGTAGTAGTTCAACTTGAGGAAAATTTCAAGAATGAACATACTCATTTGCCAAAGAAAGCTTGGGTCTGATCAAAGCAATCTTTTTGTTGTAGCTGATGACTCGGCAATTATAAAGAACATTCCGATGCTTGACTGGCATCCCGATATCGATCAGCATGTCATTACAAACTTCATTGTCAAGTATCTCTGCCAGGGACTCCCATGAATGCAAGCAGAGGTCGCTTTCCAAGAAATGATCGAGACATCCATAGCCAGTGATCTCAAGCTCAGGTCCAATACGAAGTCTGTCGTAAAGTTAGTTGAGCCATATGTCAGTTTTCTACATGCGGACCACTGACGAAGCTCCTTTAGCCTTAGCCTGACGAATCGACTCAATGATTCTGGCCTGATTTCCCACAAAGTCTAGAGCCTGCGTGACTGAATTAGCATTTCTGTCTCCATTGCTTCTTGTGTGCCATACCCATTGGTTCAAAGAACATGTCGCGAGCGTAGCTAGATGACCCATTGTGAAAATATCTGATATCCAGATATCCAAGCGGATCCAAGAATCTTGTCCCAACTTGAGTCAAGTATTATCGAGTCGGTCGCTATGAGAATTCGGTTGCTATTCTTAGACGGTTCGTTGGGATGAAGAGCGCCGAGCCCACTAGAGATATTGTCCCTGCCCCGCGATATTTACGCGCCTAAAGTGGCTGAAGATGCCGGTCTCAAGCCGGTCTCCCACCAGCTCCTTGTGGCGGCTCAAGGCTGGTGCCAAGACCGCCGCTTATCTTGTCATACTTCTTCGGTGTATATTCGGCATGTTACTGTGCTGATTTTCTGAGCCCACTTCATTATTGGAAGTGGGATTATCGTAAGTACATTGTGTTTGCTCCATTCAAAATCGCATTGGAGAGAGCCCCATTTTATATAAACAAAAAATGGGTACATTTAATTCCATGTAGTTACCACTTTCAAACATGCAATAGACCTGCTATGTAATATTACTGGCCAACTGTGGATGTGTGGATGGCTGCACTAACACCCGATGAGAAAGTCCAGATCATGACCAGGACACTTGAGCTTTGTAGTGGAAGTGCCAGGAAAACCAGGATGTTTATCGGGTATGGCTACAGGAAGCATAATGAGCCACTTGTATGGTTCTGATCAATGGGAAGGGCGTTATTAATAAGCCCGAAATATGTAAGCCAAAGGTGTGAGACACTGTCACGCTGAAGGAAGTTCAAGTCACAGAGATGAGAAGCATTTATATGTGTGTTGTGGACAGATATATATTCAAGCCGTCTATCCTATATGAAAACAAATCCCAATCCTAATCCTAATCCCAATAACGTAACCAGATCATAAGCTTCTATCCCCAACATATATACAAGAAGCTGATCTAACAAGAAGAAACAAAAACGCCTAATCATCTAACCACCCAAGCCTAATAGATCCACGATTTCTTGGTTTGAGGACGAACACCACTGTTTACAGGGACCTCTAGGAGTGGGAAACCTTGAAACTTTGGGAACAAGTGCTCTGGGAACGCTGACGTGTAGCACTCTGTGATTTGACTGTCTGTGACCTTTGGAGATAGCAATGGGAACTTTAGGAGCTGCGAGTACCTTGGGTCGGGATTGAAGACACAAGGATTGAATGGTGCAGGAGCCGCTACCTGCTTCTCTGGTGTCGTGGGGTTGGTGGGACCGAGGACATCCATTAAACTTGATGGACTGGTTTCCCGGGAGTAGCTTAGTCGGACACATGGCGCGGTATAGGCTGGTCCAGGAAGACTTGCGGGCTCCCATGCTGGACGAGGATTGAGTGGAAGAGGAGTTGCTACTTTCTTCTCTGGTGTCATGAAGTTGGTGGAAGCGAGAGCACCCATTGTGCCTGATGGATTGGTTTCCCGGGAGTAGGGTTGCGGGGCCAATGGCGCTGTGTTGGCTGGTCCAGGAAGACTTGTGGGCTTCAATCCTGGTGGGACTGCTGGGTGTGCTGAGGTGTTGAAGACTTGTGGTGCCAAAGGACTCTTGAGAATGCGGTAGCCGTCTTTTCCGTTCAAATTGTAGATGACCTGGTGGCCTATTTTCATGTATGAAATGCGTTGTGCTCCGAGCTTGACCAGTTTTTCGATGCAGGAAAAGAAATCTTGAAGGGCCTCGTACTTGGCTGGGTCTTTCTCAACCTTTTGAAATTGCTCAGCGGCGATAGAGATTTCTTTTCTGGTCTCCGGGTCGAATTGGCTGGAAATGGCCTGGAGTTTGTTGACGGCCACGAGGAGATTGTTGAAGTTAAGTTGAGGATAGAAAAATCTGAACTGTTTCAAGGTTAGCAAAAGCGTAGAAAGGCTAATTGTGTCAGAGGGAGGAGGTTAGAGCAAAAAATGGGAAGAGAAGAAACATACAGAAGACATTTTGATGGATTTGGTGAATCAGTTGGATAATTTGGTTGTTTGAAGAGAGATACTTGGAAAGTAAGGTAAATTGTTGTGGTACTGTGTAGCTTTGTATGTATGGTAGAGAGGAAAGAAAAAAAACTTCCAAGAGGGTGAAAAGTGGTTGTTTATATACCTGAATAACATAGTCAAAATACCTAGCCATTACCTTACTTTATGACCATCCGTCATTGCTCGAGAAACCGCTGAATTCTAGCTTGACTATGGTGATGCGCATGGAAACTATATTTGTAATTTACACCGTCAAAATACGCGCTGGTTTAGTCGATCAACTCAACGGGCATGTTAGAGTGATGTTTAAAGGCGGGTATCTCCTTCGATCTTTGGGAGCACAACTTGGCACACCTTCATTTTACGTACGAACCAGAAGTTCCAATATATTGAAATCAACCTCTCCACCAAGATTGAACTGAGCTTTTGGAAATAAAGAGAAAAGCTGCTTGTTAGAATGTTACACATTGTCAAACAGCGTTCTCATTGATTCTAATCGCTTCCCAAATTAACCGAGGATCGATATCATAAGCCTGTTAGGCTGCGCCGTGAAGCCGAGCCTTATCGAATACTCTAAACGAAATCTACTATCTTACCTTATTTAGTAACTGCAGATAGTCTGATATAGCTTATTTATGAACTCATTTTCGATTTTCTATCCTACGGGGTGAGATATTTCTACTCTTGGTAACCAGATATCCTCGTTCTGCAAAGTTCAAGCATTGTAGAAATTCCTTTCATTTCCTTGGGTATACCAGGTCACATAGGTCCATCAGTTAATCCACACAGTGCACAGTGACAATTAATTCTCGTGCAGTTTGCAGGTTGCCTTATGACCTCGGGCGATGGTTAATGACTTATTCCGTCATAATGGCACACCGTTGCACTAGGCATATGACAGACCAAACCGTTGGTTCCAATTCCCGATTCGGTTAAGCGAGAACCGAGCTAGTTTACAAGATCGTCAAAAATGTTTGGCCCTTGGAAGAGAACCCGATGGGACCATCAAACAGATTCAAACTCGAATACCGAAGGATACAACAGATACGAATCGCAGCTTTGCCTATTCTCTTGATTTCTTGCATCAACGGATATGTGGTGTCCCTTGCATCACAGAGTACAAATCCTCTGCACGGTTGCACCCCTTTTTCACGCATTCAAAAAAGAGGTTCAATTATAGTTTGGCGCTTAAACGAGACCGGAAGAAGTAGCGCAGCATGGCCTCAAAATTAAGCGGTGGTACAGTAGTGTTTCAACATCCACGACGCGATTTATTAATTGACATCAAGAATACGGAGGGTCGCGACAAAAACGTCGATTTCTCTGTGGGTGCAGTTCGTGTTTCCTTATCACCTTGCGAAGTCATTCCTGTCCGTATTAATGCGTCACCATTGCAAATTTAAATTGACGAGAAGAAATGTAATGTTAGTATATCTTCCAATATGATAATGATGCTTTTCAGGAGAGGCCGAGGAAACTAGGTAAGTCTGGAAATCATGATTGAGCGGGATCATAATTCGTGAAGGGGATAGGTTGCAGACGTAAAGGGCATAATTCTTCTTTGCTCTATTCAATCCCACTATGGCGAAACTATCGCGCAATGCCGTAATGAATGCTGGAAGATAACTTCCCGTAGCTGTAAACAAAGGTTCTGTTTACACTGCCCCAATCTGGTGTCTACATGAAAGCCCATGAGACTTCGCTGCGTCTCCTCGTCGTACACTGACATACGTCTTTACATACATCCTATTTCTCCTTACATCAGGATCTGATTTTGGTATCGTGTACTTAAACGCCCACAAAACCATTTAGTACCACAAATTACCACATGTCAAGTAACCCGGCTTGGTTTTAGTATATCATTGGGCTCGTATTCCCTTCAAGGCCACATACCAGTAACAATTCTCCTGTGGCTTCCAGGTGTACCAAGAATAACACTTAGATCATCAAAAAAGACCTCTGAACCCTTCAGGTAATTCTGTTGTTTGGCTATTCTGTGTCGATTTAAAGGAATGTTCCAAGCAAAAGCTGAGTGACCCACACTAGAAAATTGAGAAGCTTTTGTATGAATCAGATAATCTACCATCATTTGCTGATCTGGAGTGAAGCCTAGTAGTATTTCCCGATCTAGTCCCTGGAGAAGGTCAAGTTTGGAGGTGACCATTATGTTTAAAGCCGCTGCATCGCTGTAAAACTGTGGTAAGTTATACGCGACGTCTGATGATGCGTATATGGTCGAATAATTTAAACCGATGGCACTTGGTCGATTCTGGATATCAATGCAGGATCCCTTTGAGTGCTGAAGTGTACACTGAGAAACGCTTTCGGTATTATGGGATGTGTGATATCCAAAAGATGATCAAGTAAATTGGAAAATCGGGCAAGAAAGGAACTAGCCATTGCCCCAGTGTCGTTTCCAAATTTCAGTATTCTTCCAAACATTGCTATAAACCCAGCATCATCAGTCTCAATTGGAAATGTGAAAGAAGACTTGGCTATCTCAACCACGATATGATCTAAACCAGAATGTGCCTGATTTGCAAGCCAAACTTTGGATGAAGTATGCCAATCTTCAATTGATTTTTCGTCCAGAGGGCTTCTCGCAGCGAGACTTTCCGGGCTGTTGAAACGTCCTCCCACGTGTGTTGAACAAAAGTCCATCAAATCAGCTCCAAACCTTAGACAAGTTTCTTCGTGCCTGGAGGGTTTATTTCTTTCTGATGCTGTATTCAAGACGTCTATCGAATATTTCCACTGATTTTTGTGTTCTGGTATTTTCATGAAGCTTCCGCGGAATGTCAATTTTCCAGTTAATAAAGCAGAACGCTGCTTTTTCACAAGTTAAGCAATTCTCTATCTCTCAATATCAAATCGCCTCTTACCTCAGCATCCTCACATCTTGGCAGAAATCAAAGGCCAAAACACCTTCCAACAGTTTCTTTGACAGTCATTCGTTACGCAGCAGCAGGAGGGAAACAACAACCATTCTCAGAATCATGAATCTTATTGCAATAGTTCTTGCCACAGTAGCAACTCACTCATTCCTGCAATGGGCAGCGACTTCCATATTCCATTTCAAGTTTGGTTATTTTGGCATCCTTTGGGCAATTCTTCGTCGGCTGGTTACTAGTTGAAAGTCTTCAGGGCCACAAGAATGACAGAACAGACCCCTTGATTCCCAGGAGCCGAATATGATTCTCAACTTTGAGATTTCCATCAAATCAAAATATTGAGCATTGTTACCTTGCTTGCAGACTCGTGGCCCACGTGCAATTATCATATTTCACGTTTCTTATTCTGATTTATATTAGGTTAATTTGGCGATCGTGAATCCTTGACCCTTCCTCCACCTCCAAGGACATGTTTATCTTCTTATTTTCTCTTGTGGAGATTCCAAGTCCAGGTTCGGCTCGAGACATTTGCACCCAATAATGTGACCCTGATCATGTGTATTTGCGGTCAACTTCCCAAGCAAAACCTTTTGATTACACTTGAGTAATACTGTTGTTTGATATTTTCTTCTGATCACATAGGGGGCCAAAATTGCTCTTGGCAAATTTCCATATCAAGTTCTAGGAATTAATGTGCTACGCGAAATTTATTAGCGTAGCTGACTATGCTTGGGGGTTTGTGGATCAATTGTTACTCTTCTACCCGTAGTTCGGTTGTTGAACTGCTTATTTCTCTCTGACTAGCGATCCAAATGCTGTGTACCACAACTTCGTAACTGCATTTTCGACTTGGCGAGAGAGAATATACAAAGTTTCCCTGTTCACTGGCTCTTTCAAATTCCCTTTGTCAGAAAGCAGTTTAATCGGCTAAAGGACAGAAGCATAAAGGTCCTCCTTTAAGGATTTAGAAGTCAATAGCCTGGAAGACACCAGAATTCCATAAAACTCGGTGTTTGGGGTGGAATTTCCCACATCTCGTATCAAATGGAACAGAACCTTCCAGAGCATGGTGTCACAGGTCTGGGCGACTGTAACTACCCGTCCGCCATTAGAACCTTTTTTGCTAAAACGACAACTACCTATCCGCCATTAGAATTAATTTATTAAAACGATAACTACTTGTCCGCTATTTGACTTATAATTATTAGCTATTTAACTTATAATTAATAGTATAGCTAGTTTTCTCTACCTAGGGCTAGCTCTTCCTAGTACGCGGGTTAGTGTGACGGTTCTGACCGTCACGTGCCATTCATATCACGTGGCTTCCTTAGCGAACCACATTGTATTTAGACTCAAGCTCTCTCGAGCTCTCCTCTTCTCCTCAGCTTAGAATCTTCGAATAGACAGTTCTACGATTCCATAACCTACACCTTGGACGCTCCTTGAGCAACACATCGTACGTGTCGTCACAGTTAGGGTTAGGGCTAGTAGACTATTAATAAATCTTTTCTTTACTATTTATCTCCTAGGGCTTAGTAATCCCTACCCCCTTAGGACTTAGTAGACCCCCTAGGGCTTAGTAGACCCCCTAGGGCTTAGTAGACCCCCTAGGGCTTAGTAGACCCCCTAGGGCTTAGTAGACCCCCCTAGGGCTTAATATACCCCCCTAGGGTCTATTATATCCCCTATAGCTTATAATCTAATATACTTAACCCTTCCTTTTCTTCTATAAATAAAGTAGTCGGAATAGCTAACCTTGCTAACTTTGGCGTACATAGTGGCTAAGTGTGGCGTACCTAGCTAAGTGTGGCTAATAAGGAGAACAAGGGCTTTAATTAGGCAGTTCTTGCTTACTAATCGCTCCCTTCAATATCCGGAACTAGGAGTTCCAGCCTTATAGAATAAGTACGCTATTAAAAACACTTTTCCTAGTAGTTTCGTACTCTATTATATCTATTACTCTGTTGTGCTGGGTCTACTTTCTCTTTTGCTCCACTTCCTTATTTGATCCACTTATAGTTCTGCTGCCTAAATGCTTCATGTCTGCCTAAACCTTACACTCTTTATATAAACACCTTAGATAGCTACCTTTTACAATGCAATCAATTCTCCATGACCTTCAGTACCCAATACCCTTTCAACCCAATATACTCTTATTCCGGTACGATTAAAAACTACTTTTTGTTTTGTAAATTCTAATGGCAGACGGGTAGTTATGGGTTTCCATATACAGGTCCCGAAGACAACCCATCCAGAACTTCAAACATTGCAGAAATCTCCGACATCTGTATTCTCCAAACAACATTACTTTCTGACGGAACACAGCAGCGGTTTTCGTGATATTTCTTTGTTGGCACTAAACCCACGCGAAACCACTATCAACCCAGGAGATTCCATCCGTTTGACAAAATTACGATTTTGGTTCCGGTCACAGGTCACGCCGGCGTGACCAAGCGACAATGAGTTTCATAAAGTAAGCCAGCCAACTTCAAGAATATTCGATATCACACCATCACTACAAATAAATAAGCAAGAAGGTTACATAAGGAATGTATACTTTCATCATTGTCCTAATTCGGTTGTCGTTCCATCATTACACGTCCAGAAACATCCATACTCCACATCATCATGAATCGAGAAAAACCTAAACAATCGATGGACCGGTCTCAACGGAAGACCAATAGACAGGTACAAACTCCTAGGCATGACGTGGGTGGACAACGCCCAGATCACGCAAAGCAACTTGTAAAAACGATTGGAAGAAAAACGGTTCTCAATCATGCATATGTTTATCTTTCTCATTGGCGTTATCGTCATCGTTTGTCCAATTTTTACTCCATTAATCAGTATTACCATCAACAACAACAGTAACAATGTGTCCGGGGGCTTGTTTGGCTACATAGCGGCTCCAAGCGGCGGGCTTCTCGAGGCGATTGCTCGTGGAGGATTATCGATAATAGAAAGAGGAAAGCAATATCTCCTTGAGGCTTGAGCCTCTTCTGCTTCAAATAAAACATGTTGTATGACGATCGTCTCTTGACCCTGTCTTAGTTGTAATATGTGATATCTTGATTCCACTTCCTTCTCTAAGGTCTTTTATTGCTGGCTTGAATGATTGTAGAGTAAATGTATTGTTCCAACTGAACGGCAAGTATTGAGATGTGCCACAAGACTTATGCGTATATACTCCTGCATTGTGCTGTGGATACAGAGGATATATAAAGCGACACTACTTAAAGAAACTCTCTAAGTAACTGGAAACTTACAAAATAATGACACGTACTTACGTCACATCCATACTTATAATTGACGAGCCAAATGATCCATGTGAAAACATACCTAATGCCGCCATCTCGCCTCCGAGTAGAATTGAAAAATAGCAAACGATTGTTTTCTATCAGTTAGAACTACACTATTACTCCAGTTATATAGAATACTTAAAAACTCAAGAGAAAGCCTTCGGACAATCATGGCACTTGTCCTAAAAGAATTGGAAATATCTTTCCTAGTCCACTAGTAGTTCGCATGGACAATTTCAACACACACGCAACGCAGCTGAAATATTTCCCCCAGCCCCGATACATCTGGTTCTCCGAATCCCACCAAAAAAACGGCGTCTTCAAGTTTTGAACATCCATAATACCTACTATGCCACCACCGCGCCCCTCGTTTCAGTCGCTGTTGTTTTCTTACTCATTCCTTCCAGTCTGCTGTTAGAGCCACAGAGTACTCATAAAGCCTGTGACTCTCGCAATGTAATAGGAATTGCGAATAAGACCTTTTCTTGCTCTAGAATTCTTGTAGCGTGTGCTGATGGTATGATGAACACAACGAGATTCCTACCAGTGCAAAGGTTTTGGTTGGTCACTTGGTGAGTTGTGAATTTATCGGAGCTTTTATGTTTGGATGAAGCTTTTGATTCTTTATTTCGGAACGATAACAAGCAAGCAGCATGTATCCACAGCTTTCTGGAGCTCTGCAGGCGGCTTTGTATAAGACGGTGACTTCGTGGGGAGAAAAGGGGATTGCTGACTCCAAGCGAAGGCGGCACGCCAAGGCGTCCTTCACTGACCCACGCCTTATTGTATTCGAATACGAGTAGAACATCCTTTTGCGAATTAATCTCTATTTCTATCTCAATAAAATCTTGTTTTCCTCCCATAATAGCATAGATCAATAGATGAGGGTTTTAGTATAAAACTTAGTCAAGACCTTTCTTTTCCCACTGCACTGCCCTCCTACCCCCCGCTCCCCGGTAGAAGTTGTCACCTTGTAAGTCTCATCACATTATGTTCATCCTAACTCCCAAGGATCTTACTTTGCAGATCTCCCAGGACTTGGCCTAGATCTTCCCCACGAAACAGGGATCTGATCCCCGCCAATACCTCGGTCCACTTCAAACACGCCTCCAAAGTTTCATGATGAGAGAACGAAATACATCTCGCGTACTTTCGATCTCCTTCATCCAACGTTTTTTACCAGTATCACATCTTCTCGAATATCAGTTTTTTCTGAATCAAATCACCAATAATGGGACAAATACCTTCAGCGCCGACTCTGACAGAGGAGAACATACCCGATCAAACGGGGAAGGTACGTTATAGATTCCGATGGATGTACAGCACCTTTCAACGGTACCATATTCAATCTTCTAACTATGATTTTGAACCACAGGTCTTCATCGTAACAGGTTCCACGTCAGGAGTAGGACTTGAACTTGCAAAGATACTCTATGGCGCTAACGCAAAAGTCTACGTCGCGGCCCGTGTAACCGAGAAGGCATACTATGCCATGGGAGTTATGAAATCCACATATCCAGATTCCAAAGGCGAACTGATATATCTCAAACTCGACCTCAGTGACTTGACGACGATCAAAGCTTCCGCAGAGGAATTTTTAAAGAAGGAGAAACGTCTGGACGTTTTATGGAATAATGCGGGTGTGATGGTTCCACCGCAGGGGAGCACGACGAAACAGGGTTACGAATTGCAGATTGGGACGAACAACATTGCACCGTTTTTATTCACGAAGTTATTGACGCCGTTGTTGATCGAAACTGCGAAAACGGCTGAGAAGGGGAGTGTGAGGGTTGTGTGGGTTAGTTCCAGTGCGGCAGAGAGGTCGAGTCCGCAAGGAGGTGTGGAGATGGATAATCTGAAATATGAGAGAGAGGATAAAAGTGCGTGGCATAAGTATGGTGTTAGTAAAGCTGGAAATATATTACATGCATCTGAGTATGCCAAAAGATTTGGGGGGGATGGTATACTGAGTGTGGTAAGTTCATTACCTTGTGTGCTAATAGATGGATACTGATTCAAGTTAATAGAGTTTGGACCCCGGCAATTTAATGACGGATTTATGGAGACATATGCCCTGGTGGCAAATGTTGGTTGTCAGAAGAATACTGAAGGAGCCTGTTTTTGGGGCATATACTGAGTTATATGGCGGGTTATCACCGGATATTACCATGGAAAACAATGGTACTTTTGGTAAGTAGAGCTAGATACGCTAGAACGCAAATCAATATGCTAATCTTCCTTTAGCCGTACCTTGGGGGAAAATGCAACGCCCTAGAGCTGATATCTCATTAGCATGTAAGAGTATCGATGAGAGTGGCACTGGCTTGGCGAAACAATTTTGGGACTGGACTGAGAAAGAAGTGGAAGCTTATGTATGACTACTAGAAATTTACAATGAAGTAAAACCGAAATTAGAATCCGAAGGTCGACTTGTCAAGCTCGAAGAAAGAACCAATTGAAATTGAACTTAGGGCATCGAAATATGAAGCATTCTAATCCCTTCTTCGGGGACACCATAATCTGAATGTCCAGAGCTGCTGCAAGGCTAACCTGGAGGCTCAGAGATGCTCGAAATCACTTCGAAGGTCCTTCAATCATCTTTTCAAGCCCCCCCCCCCAATCCTTTTCATCTGTAACTGTTTTCGAATGATAAGCTTCTTTGCGACAAATTTCAGGCGATCGTGAAACGAGAACCATGATTGTAAATACCATTTATCCTCATAAAATATGACGTGTCTATCCTCGGGATTGAGAAACGCCTTTTGCAATAAACAGTGAAATTGATTACTGGATAATACCATCTCGAGAGGCATTACCATTCTGGCCATCATAAGTTTGGTCATTTTGGATGATGGAGAACATCCAAAATGTAATAGTAGTATTCTCCCATCTGTGTGTTCTGTACGAGGATTGTATTATGTCTCATAAAGAACACTTTACCTTCGCATGAAGACTAGAAGATTCTCGAGATCCGCAAAGGAGTTGAAGCCTATCTAAGTTCTTACTGCATGGCTACGAGTAGAAGCGGATCTTAATAAAGCTACATTGAAACCAAGCCCACATATGGGAGCATGCAGACTTACTTTGATTGACTTGTACATGACTAAATATTGTGCCTCTTTGGTCTTGGAGGCATAGGGGGAACCACGAAGGAGTGAATATCCATCCATGTCATCACGTGACAAGTGGAACCCCGGCCCCCCTCCCACAAGCGACCTTTATCACTGACAATAAGCAAATCGCTGTCGCCTTCGGGCACTGTGGAGGCGGCATGTGGAGTTACTCAGCAGTTGTGATTCTCATGTGTCGTTGAAACCGATTCTTGCGCCAGAGGTTGGCGCCTGCAATCATCCGCGTTCAGTCTTGCCTGACTATAAAACGCCCCCTCAAGTAAGTGCTCCTCCCCAGTTCCATTGCTAACTTTAGCGTTACACTGCTATTACATTATAATAACCTCTCTGGGTCCAATCCCCATTCAGATAGAAGGCTTAGCCTCATAAATATTTTTTTGTGGAGTTTTTTTGTACTTTTTTAAAGTTGTGCTGTTAAGCGAGGTCGCGCCAGCCACTCGAATTTTCCCCCCTATTCACTACTGACCAAGAGGCTCTGCAGTCCAGCCCACGATTTCTGAACTGTTTTAATTGCGTTAGTAGCAAATCTATGGAATGGTGGATTCGAAAGATTAACCAGGGAGCTGTTGGTTTACTGCCCCCCCTCCCCCTCACCCCCAAATATTCGCTATGCTAAGTTCAATTGATGACTCATTTTATACCAGACCTTGTTTCTTGCGCTAGTAAGTAGGAATTGATGTGTTTTTTGTGATCCCCCTAGAATGTATACATCAGGTACCCAAAAGTTAGTAAGAAGATATCGATACCGCTCACATCACTTGAATCTAATTCTGCGATGAATAGCTCCGTTGTATTCTATCCACTCCTGATTTCCTACTCGTACACTTTGATGAATTCTGTGAAGACGCGTCGCGTTTTGCCTAATTTGCCGATAATATACAGAGATTCCAACTCTTTACCCTTACCCCTCACTATATGGGGAAGATATCTGGATTTGTTGCACATCTCACTGTGTTCTTCACCTCACAAAATCGACATTCAACGACCCTAAGACCGGCAAATGGAACTTCCAAACTCCGAACTTGCAGGAAAATACCTAACGAATCCATCTCCTCCTCCCTCCCAGGCTCCCCCTACACATTCAGGAAACATCAAAAGTTCATTGGACAACCCAATCATCTCAAACCAACCAGCTTGTTCTGGACCGTTGATCGATCAATATAGATATATAGCGGAAACAGATATTTAGGGTATTTATGCATGAGTCCCTCAACTATCATAATGACCAAGATCTCAGCACTTCGTGCTGCGCAAGTCAATCGTCACCAAAAGCCTTTGATTCATCCATCCCCCCTCGAAAACGCAATACAATGCATATTTAGGATTTCTCGCAACGCTGTCGATAGGCTGGCCCCAGAAAGGAGGCGTCGGCGTGCACATAATCATCATATCGAGCGCCAATCTCGATCCAGCGAACCACCAAGTTCAAACGAACCACAGGAGATTTCCCAAGACACAAGGGGCCATGTTCAGTCCCAGAACTTCCTTATATCAGGTAAGTCTAGCTCCCTGTCCCTGTAAAAGGGGATCGTCTCTTCTGAATCGTCTGGAATACCTGATAATCGTTCAATTGAGCCACTCTTCAAATCAAAACCACATTTACTCAATGGTCAATTCATTGAGCAGAGATAAGGCCACTATAGTTATACATTACCAGGCGGATAGCCTTGAACAAGAGTAAGAACAGACAATCCTGGACAGAAGAAAGATTCCGCTGATCTTTCCACGTCCTCCGGTTCCAAGCAAGTCAAGGATATTTCACTCTTCAAGCGAGTATGAGATGGAGAAAAATTATCTCCAGAATCCCACCAGGGGTCTCGCGAAACCAAAAATATGGAGCAACAAGCACACGCGTCAATTCAAACACTGTACGCATTCCCGGTACTAAGCGAAGGTACAGTTGCTTCTTCCTCATACTGAGAAACCTCTCAGCACAAGTCTCTTTGATATTATGGGTTTGAGACGGGATGTACCGACCACTCTTCATTTTAGAGGAAGTAATGTGGCTTTGGAATATAAGGCGATTCAACGGCAAAAAGAACCAGAGTGGAATGAGCCAGAATGGACGTTCATGGAAGTCTTTCTAGGGATGTGACTGGACCGTTGGGCGAAGCGACTGCGACTCAGAAAGCAATCAACTGTTTATGCCAAAGAATCGATACTACGTTTCTTACTGTATCTATGGCATTTTTCTTACGACCTGTCTTATCCCCGTTCGATACCACCAATCGGTCACCTTCACAAGTTCAGATGCGGCTTAAACAGTTTACACCAATCCGAGTCAAATTCGCGCTTTAAAGAAGCCATAAGTCCCAATCCCAATCACGAGGACCCGCGGAAAGATTGATAGACGAGCACTAATACTTAGCCCTTGAGTTCCAAGGATATGTAGACTAAACGAGGATATATTTACGTCCTTTCGCTCTGCTCTTTCCTTCTGCTTCGCGTCTTCTGCTTCGTATTCGTATTCAAGCAAGCACATACATACAGTCGTTTTGTCATAATGTACAGAAAGTAAGCGTTCAGTAAATCTTTCCTTAGTTATGATTATGTTGTCCAATTATTCGTAAGAATGAGTAGTAACGCAACTTGTAGGACCATAGGACCTACCCTTGATCCAACCTTCCGAAACACAGCACGCCATGTACTTCGAGTCATCGCCTACTGTGGTCTTGTAAAGATGGAATATCAAGCTCAATCCTGGCCTCCAAGAAACTCATTGCAAACAAGGAAGAAGGTATGATTCTAGTTAGACTTAGTTTGGGGTTTATTTGCTGTTTTTACTTTTTGAAATTGGGATATCAATAGCTAGCTTGTCAAAAACTAAACTAATAAGCGAGTGGAAAAAGAAAGAGCAAGCTCATTTCAAGTACTACAAACGGCCCAGTCATTATTCTGCATACATCGAATCAAAAGGATGTATTCTTACAATGAATCATTCATATCACTGTACTGTACCAGTATTGTAAACTATCTAGGAGAACTAACATCTGCAATTATATATACTCGGATGGGAAAGGGGCTGTATATTATCTTTAGCGAATCTAGCAGTTGTATAGTGACCAGTAAGCCACTTTTCTTAGTGCGAATGGCATTTGGTTTGCAAGAACACTGATATTATTGAGCTTCTGGATAGCCGTAAGTAAAGCGATGGGGTAAAATAATTGGAGGCTTTATTTCGGGGGACGCTCTGTTATGTTCCAGTTACTGAGAGGCCGGATTATATAACTTGCCTACCTAGATCTCCTAAGACTTTCCACCACATGGAAGCTGGTTCTCTATTACTAGCGTGTTCTATGGTATTCTAAAAGAGGAATAGAGCAAGATATAAGACATAAGCTCCTATTATATATAGTTAGAAGTTAAGCTTTTGAATTTAACTCATTTTACCCTAGCACTTTTGATATTCTATATACCTAACAATATATCTAAAGGCGTTTTAAACCTTTTCCCACAGCGTTGAGTATAATCTTAAGGTTAAATAGTAGAACTAACTAGTACTAATAATTTCATAGTACATATAGTACTAGTCTTATTACACCTTTCATATGCACGTCCATTAACAGAATCTAATAAGATCCTCTACCGGTTTAGATAAAGAAGGACAAGGTACTAAGAAATGTTTTCTCATCCAAGTACTCTAAATGGTGGCGTCGAACCGCAGGTAGCTTCTGGGATGAGCCTGACTGCAGCGGACTACATGCAGGAGGCTTGAATCTAAAAGTTGATCCATCTCGTACAACCCCAGGATGTTAGGTCATTTGATGACTGTACATCACGGGGCGTGTAATAATGTGGCGTCGCATCGGTATTAGGGTTTTCAACATGATAACCCTTTTCTGGCATGGAAAGAAACAATTGCGGAAATAAAACTTGCTGAGATCAATGTGGATGGTATTAACAAAGAAAATAGTCTGAGTTTTATGTATAATATCGCTATCGTATAGATCTCGGATCGAGCAACAGATCATCGATCCTCAAGTTACCAAACTTTCTCGTTCTTGCAACTATATCAATATTTGAATGTGAACTAGAACGATGTCGTGGACATAGTATCCCGAATTGCCAAGGAGCGAGGAACGATTCGTCAACACTCCCGCAACGTAAATACAATAACGGACCTAGTAAGTAAATGTGAATAAGCAACTAGGATTAAATTCAAAGCAGAAGGAATGGAAAGCAAAGTGATAACTGACATAACAAACAAGATAAACATCTTATCGCATTATTATCCAAATCCGTCACCGATAACCATCACCTCGACCTATTAGCAAAGACAGTATCCGTGTTTTCTGCACTGTAACCCAAGTGAGCAGGCTTGTCTAGAACCTTGGAACCGCAGTTCCAATGATATGCGGGAGTTATATGCAGAAAATGACGTAAAAAGCCCTTTCCCAAAAAGGTTCTTCTCCGTGTTTGCGGGGTAATCCTACTTTAATTATCCATTACTGTAGGATTATAACAATCTACTGTACCGCTTTGTCGGGACTTAGCTTCCGTTCTCGGAGCGAAATGCTCGAAGAACCTGATAATGCACGAGACATGGGAACGGATTAGTATTCTTTAATAACCTTATCGACCACCAACGAGGAGCTTGCTTAGTTCCAAGGGGATAAGCGGGAGATTTGTAATTTTATAATATCCGAAATTATGGGGCAACCTAATCATGGTTGATAACGATGATATCTTAATATCACGTATAGCAGCACCTCGCTATAAATAGCGATATGTTTGAGTTGACAAAGATCCGGTCAAAGAAACAGTGGAAAAACCTTCACGTACAGTACAGTCATTTTCACGCTACAGTGCAGGTATATTCAAGTACATACATTGTGCTGATCAGCAGTAAAATACCTACGTTTGGTAAGTGCCCCGCATACCGAGCATATACATTAGGGCAACAAAATATTACCTAGTTCAGTTGCACTTATTCGGTTTTGTTTTAGTATTATTCAAATTGTACTCTTTGACCACTACGAAGTAGATGTGAGTGGATGTAAGTATATGGCCTTGAGCTAGTAGGATTAGAGGATATTAGGCCCTAGTAGATCCCGTAGCTTTCCGTCTTCTAGAAATCCTAGATTTATATAATCTACGTCTTTTTGTAGGTGCTTCTAAGATTTCTAGCTTAGTAAAATAAGGCCCTAATTGTTCGCTATCTAATCAGAAAGCGTAAAATAAGTGAGAGTAGAACTAAAAGAGAAATTAATAAAGTAGGAGTATAGATTTACTTATATACCGTAGGGCACCCTAGTAGCCCTATTTACTTACATCCATTTCGTGGTGGTCAAAGAGCGTGATTAGAATAATACTAAAACGAAACCAAGTACTTACTCCGGCAAAATCGTTTAGACTATTTGTAACTCTCTAGTGTAGTAGCAGATGAATGTGATCCTCCAGGGGAAACCCGAGTAATTACTACTGAATTTCGCTTATAAACAGAGGGTAATCAAAGCGCTAGCGTATTATCCCCATTGCGTTAATACCATACTGTAATCCTCATTTTTGATAAAGTGAATATATACCGCGCCACGTGCGGTGACTCGTCAACTTTATATGCGCTAAGACCTCTCTTCTTACACACCTACCTGCTCTCAGGGTCCCAATACACTGACGCCCCGGCGTCAGTTTAGAGCTGACTAAGCGCGGGTTTTCACGCCCCCCCACCATCCACGAACACTCTACTTATACCTATAATTAATACATGCTTAACAAAATAACATATAATAAATCCTACAATATATATCGCTCCGAGTCTCGCGCATACTCCTCCTCAAGTCTAGCCCATATATCCCTACTCCTATTCTCAGTATTCCTATTCATATTCCTAATAAACTCTGATTCAAGCATATTATACTCATCTTGCTCCTTCTTTTCCTCGTTATCTAGCCATGCTATAATC